TCAAGGTCAGGTCAAACACCTGAAATCGGGCTTTCAGTAGCATGGACTTCAGGACTTCGCAATGGGCGCCTCTCGTCATAAACTCTGTCAAAACGGTGCACAATCCATCATATAAGGCCTACAAGAGTGTCAGCTCCATGTAGGGGTCAGTCAAGCATAGGTCAGGGTCAAGGTCAGGTCAACCGGGTAGGCACATATCCCCGAAAATCAAAACTGATATTCGCAGCCCGTGACACATGTTTTATGGGTAATTTGGGGCGTAGAACACGATGGTGACATTCATTTTATCATATGTGTACGTGTTTGGCTCAAAAAGTTCAATTTAAGAAATGCATGTATCATGGTCGTGAAGTAGTCACGAGAAATTGCCAAGATTCAGTTCAAGATTTTGGAAAATGCGGAACGATAATCAATAATCGAAGATAGCCATTTGATTGTTCATGGCATTGACAGTCTAATGGCGTTTACTGCATGTCTGTATGTCTGTTCTGTGATTTTATATGATTTTTTGAACATATGCCGTTTTTGGTCGAAAACTCAGAAATCATGACGTCACTAAAACCTCGATATCTCAAAATTTTTCGGACCGATTTTTTTGAAACTTTGTCACAATAAACTTCAATCAATTTCCTACAGGTACCCAAAATTTGGCGCGCCTGCGGCGCGCCGTTTTTATCCTATGGCCCGGCAAAAAAAGTGGGGGCGTTTAACGCCCCCCCCCCCAGCAACTCGCGGGTTAATGTCAGCTGTGCTAGTCGCGCCAGTTTCGTCCCGGACCACCGCTGGTCATGACTGATGGTCTGGCTATCGCCAGCCGCGCTAAACGTCACGAACCAACTACCTAAATGGAAGCACTGCCGTTGTAACCTGCGCCCCGCAGAGCCAGTTTCCCGGCGCCCAGAACACCACTTGTTGAGCCGTTCGTATCAGGCTGACGGATCTCGGTGACGTGCGATGAAGCGACTCTTGCGTCATGCCTATACCTTGAAAACATGAATATCGCGTGCGCGTGTGTGTGGGTGAAACCATTGGCTAACTCTGGTTGTTTGTCGATTGCCTTGGCTTTATGGATGCATGTCTATTGTTCCAAAATGCTGGATATGATTTGCCATATTAACTTATTACGGAGCGAGCGAAGCGAGCGTAGTCTTTCCTTAGATTAAAGGAAAAGGGCCACCTTCGTGAAATATGAAGATATCGTTGTTTTTCATTTTGACATTATTATTTTTCATTTTCTTTTTAAAACTGGTGCCAGAAGTGCACAATTCGCGAAAAAGTATTTAAAACTATTTAACATATTGGTACTATGTTGATACTCTCTACGGCACCTACTGTATGATGGCATAGCGATGACGTCACACTCAAGCCAATCAGCGTTCAGAAGACAGACTCGTCGGATTGTGTCAGATAAGCTGATTGGTTAAAGCTGAGCTGGTTGGAGCTGATTGGTAAAAAACCAAAGCCTCGCCGCGGGTGGCTGTATTGTCGGATAAGAACGCATTCCTGGGATAAGGACGCATTCCTGGCGTATTTTCTTTTAAAATTGCCGATAATTACGAATGGAGGCCGAAATCGGCCGTAAGGAGGTAGACAGACTGGTTTTTGGACACGGGCTACAAAATGGCTATCTCAGTTTCAATCCCCATGTTAAAGGTGGCCCTTTTCCTTTAACGGAAATTTCTGAGTATGAGCGGCCGGCCGGCCGGCCGCTCGTGGTCACGCTTTTGCGAGGCTTATATCTCAGCAACCACTTGACCGATTTACATGCGGTAATTTTTGTAGGGTAGCTTCATTCCTTCTACCAAGTATTGCACTATTCCCGATGCATGTGGGTGACCCCTTATGCACGTGCCACGTGCAAAACCAAGAGGTGTCACTTTTGTAATTGTTGCAATATCTCGGTAACTACTGGGCCGATTGCGCTGAGAGTTGGCATGTAGGTAGGCACCCACTAGGAAATGCATATCCATGTGCCAGAGTTGGGGTGCTGCTGCACGTGCGCACGTGCAGGGGTCGTTTCCAGATCTCGAGAACGGCTGGACCGATTGCGCTCAAATTTGGTACACGGTTACGGAGCAGTTAGTAGGGTGCCGTGCACAAGTCAGTTGGGACCCATTTTGCACGTGCGCACGTGCAGGGTGCCGCTTCCAGATCTCGAGAACGGCTGGGCCGATTGTGCTCAAATTTGGCACATCGCTAGAGACCGGTTAGTAAGGTGCCGTGCACAAGTCAGTTGGAGGTACCCCCTCGCAATTTCGCACGTGCAAGGCCCACCCTCTCGCTCGCTCCGTTAGTCGCCACAAAAGGCGTCTGGTACCTACCTTCATACAGTTCATGGCATTGGCTCGTCCGGCCGGGCGACCGCCGACCGCTTTCCGCGAGCGGCATCCGGGTCGCACCTGAAAGGGGCACCTATTCCGGCTCCTGGCTTACCTCCACTTACCTGCACAGTACCGCAGCCAATGGCGCTCAAACCTGGCACGCCGATGGGTCAGGCACTCAGCAGCTAGTGTAGGTATTTCCCCGAGTCACGGTCAGGGTGCTGCGGCAAGTGTACTGACGTGCAGGATGTGCTTTCACGTCTCGAGATAGGCGGGTCGATGGGGTGACGACCCCCGGCGGTCATTTGAGTGCTGAAGTTAGCTGTGAGCCGGTGGTGTGAACGCTATTGACGGTGGGTCGGTGGGATCAAACAGCCGAGAGCAGGGGGAGGGGAGACTCCACTGCTCACCGTGACTCTCGGTTTGGGGGGGGGGGGATTCCATTCTACTGCTGACCGGGGGTCTGGGATCTGCAGGAGTGGCGGCCGATAGCGGAGTCGGTCCGTCTGAGCGGCCGGCGTGAGTCCCCCGCCACCGACTGTCCCCCCTGCCGGTCACTGATCATCCCCCCTGCCGGTCACCGGCTGTCCCATCCACTGGTCACCGGCTGTCCCATCCACTGGTCTCCGGCTGTCCCATCCACTGGTCACCGGCTGTCCCATCCATTGGTCACCGGCTGTCCCACCGGTCACAGACTGTCCCTCCTGCCGGTCACCGATCGTCCCCCCTGCCGGTCACCGGCTGTCCCATCCACTGGTCACCGGCTGTCCCACCGGTCACCGGCTGTCCCATCCATTGGTCACCGGCTGTCCCATCCACTGGTCACCGGCTGTCCCATCCACTGGTCACCGATCGTCCCCCCTGCCGGTCACCGGCTGTCCCATCCACTGGTCACCGGCTGTCCCATCCACTGGTCACCGGCTGTCCCATCCACTGGTCTCCGGCTGTCCCATCCACTGGTCACCGGCTGTCCCATCCATTGGTCACCGGCTGTCCCACCGGTCACAGACTGTCCCTCCTGCCGGTCACCGATCGTCCCCCCTGCCGGTCACCGGCTGTCCCATCCATTGGTCACCGGCTGTCCCATCCATTGGTCACCGGCTGTCCCACCCACTGGTCACCGGCTGTCCCATCGGTCACAGACTGTCCCTCCTGCCGGTCACCGATCGTCCCCCCTGCCGGTCACCGGCTGTCCCATCCACTGGTCACCGGCTGTCCCATCCATTGGTCACCGGCTGTCCCACCGGTCACAGACTGTCCCCTCTGCCGGTCACCGATCGTCCCCCTGCCGGTCACCGGCTGTCCCATCCATTGGTCACCGGCTGTCCCACCGGTCACAGACTGTCCCCCCTGCCGGTCACCGATCGTCCCTCCTGCCGGTCACCGGCTGTCCCATCCATTGGTCACCGGCTGTCCCATCCATTGGTCACCGGCTGTCCCACCCACTGGGCACCGGCTATCCCATCGGTCACCGGCTGTCCCACTCGCCGGTGCCGGCAGTTTATCCCTCCCCGGCTGACAAAGGCCGAGATTAGCCGGCCGCGGCCCCGCGATTGGGGCCGGACCATTTACATTTACTGCGCGCCGGCAGTTGTTACATTGACAGCGCCGCGTGGTTTTTGCTCTGTAGGGTCGACCGTGGCTCTCTGTTTTTACGCCTGAGCTGTGGCATTTGCATAGGCACAGTGACGGTCAGCGTTACTGTATAGGGAAGGTAAACAATGAAGGAAAGAGGCCCTGCGTGATTCAGCACTCAGCAGGCTACTCATCCGATTGATATCGTCTACGGTGTGCCTGTCCTACCTACATGCTCTATAATTTCAACAGTCAGCAGCATGCGGTCCAAAAACTAAATACCGGCAAATACAACAACGCAGTAGGCATATCGGTCGTGAATCAATTACGTTTAATGGTCATCCAAGTGTTGGATGGATCATGTTCAAGGTTGGACAATATCACGTATTTGTGCTGGCCCGGCTGGCTGGTCCGGCCGTGGCTGATGGCGGTGACATCAGTGGCCGACCTTTACGTGCCCCTCCCCCGCCCTGTCCTCTGGCCCGGCCGAGGCCGACCGGTTTCCACTAATTACGACCCTGACTGGACTGGACATGAAGAAACGACCCCACACCGGAACGTCAGACACGCCAAATTTCCGAAACCGCGGTCCGCACCGCTAGCTCATAGACATGCTTTAGTATTTAGACGTGCCCTGCACCCTGTGTCGACCCAGGACCCATGCGTCAGGGCCCGTTTCAGTAGGTACGCTGCTACCTTCGACCCGCCCCCTCCCACACCTCGCGCTGGTCGCCGTGGGTTGTGGCGTCGGAGCCGGCTGGGTGGCCGGGGCCAGGCCCGTCTCTCGGGACGGTGCCAGTCGCGGGGCTGAAATCCGATAGCTCCGTCGGCGTCCCTCGGCAGCGTGGCTGCTCGGCCGACCGACCGTGTCCTGGATCTCCGAGATGCGGCTGTCCAAACAAACAATCACAGCCGACTCTCCGGACATGCAGGGGCACCCCGGCCGGCGCCGGCGCGGTGCACGCCGCGGGTTATGTGTATACACACTGCACAGGTCGTACCCACATGACGCATCGTCGTCCGGTCGTGCCGTCGCGGTAGTTGGCCGGGCGGCCGCCGCACGGCGCCACCGTCGTCCGTCCGGCGTTGCGCCGTTCGACTCCGTATCACGGCCAGTGTCCGGTCAGCTGGCCGGCCGAGCGATCCGCGCGGAGTGCTGGAGACAGGGAGCCGGAGGAGCCGCTCCAACAACCCGTCCCCTCAGTGGTGCCGTGGGAAGGCGCCTGTGGAGCCGCCGGCGTGCGAGGAGCCAGTGCAGCTCCGTCCCGTGTGGGATTGGCGGCTCCCTGAGCAGCAGTGACAGGCCGGAAAACGCGCCGCATACATCGGCCAGTTTCCTGGCCATTGTCCCATCCAGCGCGGCGTCCGCGGAGCCGCGGCGCCGAGTGGGGGCTGAGGGCCGTGCAGGCCCGTCTGAGCGCCTTGGACCGGGTGACCCGGCGGCTCAGGCGCGCCGCGCCGCGGACAGCGGCCGTCCAGAGAGGCGCTCCGGGAGCTGACACCGGCGACACTGTCACCTGCCGGCGCCTGTCACCGTGACTGTGACCGTCAGAGGGGACAGGGAGTCGCGGAGGTGGCAGAACTGAACACCGACTCCCAGGGTGACAGCGATCTGAAGAGGAGCAGCACCGCCGACCGCAGGTGAGCAGCATCCCGCGCCGCCGGCCGGCCCCGCGCTGACGGCCGCTAACACGACACGATACGCCCGATAGGCAGCGGTGACCGGCCGAGCGGCTCGTGAGTGGCCGCTCCGATATGCATCGGAGCTGGCGCGCCGCGCTGGCGACGCCCGCTCTCAGAGGCGCAGTGGACAGTGGACACACGACACGCCACTGCGGACACCGGACACGGCGCTGTGGACTCACCACTCGGGGTACTGAACACTCCCTAGTCCACTGGGAACTGGACACGCTTTTGATTCTCAACAGACATGCAGCCGTGGACACGCCAGTGGATACCTACCTACCACGCCACTTGACACGCCTCTGGACACATAGCTGTTGGCACTCGGCACTGGACACGTCACTGCGGACACTGGACACACCACTGAACATGCTGCATAATTATGTGGTCAACTCGCTCTCACTCAACACATTTAACCCTCGCATGTGTAGGGGGGGGGGTCGGATGGACCCCCCCATGGTTTTTCGCGAATAACTCGCGTAAAAAGCGGCCGATCGCGACGAAACTTTCAGTACCCTCGCATTGATCAATTTGACACCTACCCTGAAAATTTCATGACCCTGACCCAAATGACCTTTGACCTGTGACCTCTTTTCCGAGACCATGTTTGGCCGGAATCGCGATTTCGCGTATGTCGGCTCGCACTAGCCGCGTGTTTGCAAGCTTTTCGTGGTTTCAAACGTTCAAACATGTGATTTGATGTTACTCCCGTGTGTGTCAAGGTCACCTGAAGGTCAGGTCAGGTCATTGACCTTTGGTGACCTCGGGTGACCTCGGGTCACTTTTTCGAGTTTTACATGTTTCTAGGCTAGTTTTTGGAGCTGAATTCGAATTTGACAACCATTTGAACATTTACGAAGTAGTTTTGGTGACTTCGTAACATGTTACGAAGCTGTCAGAGGCGGTTGACACGTACTACGAATACCCGTCACGACGCCTACTGGTTGACCTGACCTGACCTGACCCGACCTGGTCTAAATGCTTCAAGACATCATCTGTGATCAAAACTAACACGATATTCGTGATCAGCACCCCGAAAAACCCCTTAGCAGCCACACTTTACGACTTTCTAACAGGTCCCGATTTTCCCGACTTTGGGTCATTGACCTGACCTGGAAGGTCAACCAATGACCTAGGACCTTAAAATTGGGTATCATCGGCTTCCTCTCGTCACGGGCAACACGCTCGTTTTTTCCGCGAAGCTCTAGCTCGATCAGGGGCCAAACGGCAAGGGGGGGGGGTCCAACCGACCCCCCCCCCTACACATTAGAAGCTGGCAAACGCCGCACACATGCGAGGGTTAAATTAGGTTAGATAGTCACTAGGATTGTCTTTGCCATCCCCGAACAGGACCGATAGCCTGGCATCCTTATTCCTTACCATGAGCTTGGTCAGAACGAGACCCACAGGCCTAGTTGGCCTGAAAAAAATCTCGAGAAGTTGTAACTTAAGTAAGTGCCGAACCGGGATGCCCGAACTCTCCCAGTTCCACAGCGGCGCCGACATGGCTCTGGATCTTCAACAAACGGCGGAGGTCAAAGTCACCGTTTGGTCACCGTTAGGGCGGGCCCGGGGGCGGATTTGCTTCACCCGGGCTCCCCTCTTCGGCACAATCCTCCATTACCTATGACCTGGGCATACCATGGCGGACAAATAATTGGACACTGAGCTCGCCATTGTTCGTACTGTAACTGGACACACGCTACTGTCGATACTGGACGCAAGCCACTGGAAACTGAGCGAACACTCGGATGACAATGGGCACACAAATGGGAAAACTGAACGTCTCTTGCCAGTGCCCTGTAGGCGTAGCCAAGCGTAGCGCGTAGCCACGATGACTGCAGCAAGCGAAACGTCTAGAATACGTTGAGGATTATCAATAGACAGGTGTGACATATTATAGTGCATGTATGGCCTAAACTTTTGAATTCATTTTAAAAGGGGGAAAAACGCAAGAAATTACCCAACGTTTCGCATTTATTGCTTAGTCATGGGTCTTCGAGTGCGATCTCGAAGACCCATGACTAAGCAATAAATGCGAAACGTTGGGTAATTTCTTGCGTTTTTCCCCCTTTTAAAATGAATTCAAAAGTTTAGGCCATACATGCACTATAATATGTCACACGTCTAGAATACGTTTCCATTTTACAAGGCTATAGAGCGCCTTTTACCTTCAACGACCAACGTCACTGAGGACACCTGAGGTTACAACTCTTTAGTGCCCTGGTTACAATCTTTGATCACATTATTCAAATTGCCTGATGAAATTATACATGCGGCGACTGGATTTCTGTCATTTTTGTCTCAATTGGCTGGGCAGCTGCAGCGTTTTATGAAGGCTGCCATAGCAATAGGCGAAAACGTTAAAGGAAATAGTTCACTTTTTAACATGGGTTTTGAACTGGAATAGCAGTTCCGTAGCTTGGGCTGAGACGAGCATAAATCAGGAGCTTTTACAGCCCAACGATCACCCTAGGCAAAGATATTCTATTTCTCGTCCCGAAAAAGGTGTCTTGCGTTGAGGATGTGTGCCTTGCATATATTTCCATCCAGTATGAAAAGAGCATGGATCCCGAAAATTCTTCAGAAACTAGAGAAATTATCTACGAGAACTCTAGATAAATTCTCGTACTGATCAATTAGGACATTCAGGGGAACATTATCAGATCGAGCAGATCGCCCAAATGCCGGTGGCTGCGATAATTTCTCTGTTTTTGAAGAATTTTCGGGACCCATGCTCTTTTCATACTGGATCGCGTGTGCCTTACAGAAACTGAAAAGTTCTTCCTATATCAAAATATAGAAAAAAAAATATTTTGTTATGAAAAGGTTTTATTTTCTTTGCTGATTATTTTGAACATAAAAAATAATAAATCGTTGCAAAAAAAAAAATAATTTCGTGAAAGTGAACTATTTCCTTTAAGTTGATGCCCACGGTAAGCAAGATCATTGTAGTCAGCGGTCATGTGAGTGTGAATGAATCATGCCGTATGGAGTGACTGTAGAGTGAACCTGATCAGTGTGTAACTGGAGGGGTTGCCCGAGGCATTGTGTCAGTAGTACTAGGAAGAATGATGTGACGGGGAGCCAATGGGATGAATGATTGATGACGTGATATGACGTGATGCCCCTGTATAAATGTTGTGTGCGTTCGTGTACCGTTGAGTCGTCGTGGACCGCTAGACCTGAATAGAGTCTACCAAAGTGTTGCCCAGATCTTTTCTTCTACATCTTCTACAAGCTATTTCGGCATTTCGGCATCATCATGGACACACCGACAGAGACGGGCGCTGTGGTGCAGGGATCTGAGCAGGTCCGGATCGGAGCTGGACTCGATCCTCGCCTCATCGACGAGTACGACGGGAGCGGCGACGTCGTCGAATGGCACACGCAGGCGTCACTGCTCTGTGAGTATCGCGGTGTGTCGGCGGCGGAGGTGTTGCCCATGCGGCTGAAAGGTGGTGCTTTCGCCGTGTGGTCACAGCTGTCCGCGGTGGACCGCCGGTCAGCAACGGCGACACGAGACGCCTTGTTTAAGGCGTTCGCCATGGACGACTTCGCGGCTCACACAGCATTCGTCGCACGTCGGCTAGAGCCGGGGGAGAGCGCTGATGTCTTCCTGGCGAGTCTGCGCCGCTATGCTGCCCTGTTCGGCGGCGTGACGGACCGACAGCTGGTAGCTGCTTTCGTCAACGGTCTGCCGGCGTCCGTGGCGGACACAATCCGAGCAGGAACCAGGTCAGAGCAACTCAGTCTGGAGAGCACAGTCGCCCGCGCGCGGGCGGTGCTTGGTAATGACCAGACGCAAGCTGTGGCGGCGGTTCACAATGATCTGCAGCGGCGGCAGCGACCGAAGCGCCCACCTCGTCCCAGACGCTGCTGGACGTGTGGGACTGAGGGTCATCTCGCCGCGGCCTGCCCAAACGCCTCGGGGGACGTGTCAGCGCGAGCACTGTCCCCGGAGCAATAGATCGCGTCCTCCCTGTGATCCAGAGCAAGGTAGACGGTCGTGAGCGGCGTGTATTAGTGGACACTGGTTGCACAGACACGCTCGTGCACAAGGATTGTTGTGAGCAGTGGACACCGCGGACGGTGATGATGAGGACTGTGAACGGTGGGTCGTTGCGGTGTAGTGGGACGGCCAAAGTCACCATGGAGTGCCAAGGCAAACGAGTGACGCTCGCAGCCTTTGTCGTGCCTGATCGTCCATTGGGAGTGGACATGGTGCTGGGCATGTCGGGCATCACGGCCCTAGGTGGCATCAGCCTGAGGACGCCGACAGACGTGCGGATCTGTGCGGCGGCGGCGGCTGAGGTCGACCCCCAGGGGCTGGCGCTGGATGCAGCAGACTTCTCGGCCCGGTTCGAGGCACAAACTGGAGAGTGGACGGTGGCATGGAAGTGGGCAGACGGGGAAGGCCCGGAGTATCTGCAGAACCAGGTCGCCCAGTATGCCGTGCCGCCGGAAGCCCGATCAGCATATGACGCAGAGCTGGAGCTGTGGATCCGGGAAGGATGGCTGCAGCCGTACGACGAGCGGGTGGATGGCCCAGTCCGAGGTTTAATCCCTCTGATGGCGGTCCCGCAGCCAAATCAGGACAAGGTGAGGCCTGTCCTGGACTACCGTGAGCTGAATGGTCACATAATCGCACACACTGCAGATGCGGACGTTTGCGCCGATCAGCTTCGTCGCTGGCGGCGGCATGGCGCTCGCATTGCTGTAGTGGACTTGCGGAAGGCGTACCTTCAGCTCCGGTTGGATCGGCGGCTGCGACCGTACCAGACGGTGGAGGTGCGAGGTCAGAGATACTGCCTGACTCGCATCGGATTCGGCCTGAGCATCGCACCGGCTGTCATGAAGGCCGTGGTAAGAGCCGTCCTGCTCCAGGATGAAGTGGTGGCCCGAGGAGTGCTGCCTTATGTGGACGATCTCCTGGTGGACGAAGAAATCGTCAGCGCGGACCACGTGGTGGAGCACTTCGCCCGGTACGGCCTGGACTGCAAGCCGCCGGAGCGGGCGGCGGAGGGAGCACGGCTGCTCGGACTGCGGGTGAGTGCGGTCGCTGGAGAGCTGTGCTGGCGTCGTGACAACCCAGTGCCGGCGCCCCCGGAAGTGCTGACGCGTCGGGCTGTGTTTGCTTGGTGTGGTCAGCTGGTGTCCCATCTGCCAGTGGTGGGATGGCTGCGACCAGCGGCCGCGTGGCTCAAACGGCGCGTCAATGCTCTAACAGCAGGATGGGACGACCCAACAGAGGACGTGGGGCTGCGCGGGCAGGTCGATCATGTCGTGGCCCGACTGAACGACAGTGACCCGGCTCGAGGCCCATGGCGGCTGAAGGGGGACAAGTTGGTGGTCTGGACGGACGCTAGCTCTATCGCTGCCGGCGTCGTCCTGGAGGACCCCGAGGGTGGCGTCGTGGAGGATGCGAGCTGGCTGCGGCCTGAGTCGAAGGCGGCGATGCACATAAACATGGCTGAACTGGACGCGGCGCTCAGCGGCGTGAACATGGCGATCGCCTGGGGCATCACCATCATCGATCTCTGCACGGACGCGGCTACGGTCCACAAATGGATCGATGACGCCCTGACCGGCCGCTCGCGCCTGCGGACGAAGGCACACGGGGAGATGCTCATCCGCCGGAGGATCGACGTCATCCGTCAGCTGGTGGAGGAGTTCAACCTGAGGCTGACAGTCGTCCTGGTGAAGTCCGCAGACAACCTGGCGGATGCACTGACTCGTGTGCCAAAGGAGTGGCTCCGAACACCGGACCCAGAGCCTGCCGCACGGCCGGTGGCTGCCGCGGCAATCGCGGACCCACGGCCAGATGTCGACCCCGCACGGATACGCGCCGTGCACGAGAGTACTGGACATCAGGGAGTCCGTCGGACCCTCTGGTACGTGCGGCGGAATGAAGACGCCCGTGTCACCCGGTCGGCAGTGCGCGCCGTGATCCAACAGTGTGATGTGTGTCAGTCCATTGACCCAGCACCGGTACGTTGGCAGCAAGGGTCACTGAGTGTGCCGCTGACGTGGGAACGGCTGGCGATCGACGTTACGCACTACCGGGAACGGTCCTATCTGACTGTTATTGATTGTGGACCATCCCGGTATGGAATTTGGCGACTACTGCGCCGGTCAGATGCGGCTGAGGTGACGAACCAGCTGGAAAACATCTTCCTGGAAAGAGGCGCGCCTGCAGAGCTTTTGCTGGACAACGCCACGGAGTTCCGCAGCCGTCGGATGGCGGCATTCGCCGCGCGGTGGGGCGTCCGGCTGCGCTTCCGGGCGGTGCACGAGGCGGGCGGCAACGGCATCGTCGAGCGCCACCATCGGACAGTCAAGGTGATGGCAGCCCGACAAGGCTGTACAATCGGGGAAGCAGTGCACCGCTATAACGCCACGCCTCGTGACGGGATGCATCCTAGCAGCGCTCCTGCAGCAGGTGTCTTCCAGCGCGCTGGCCACGACCTCCCGCTGAACATCGACGAACCCGGCCGAGCGGTGTCCGAAGTGGACGATGGCCTCCAGAGTGCACGCAAAGCGTTCCGGGTCGGTGACGCCGTGTGGATACGCCGCCGAGGTCAGCCGACGCGGTGCACGGACGTGTCGCGGCGGGGCGTGGTGACCCGACTGTTACCGGCACCACTGGTGGAGGTGGATGGTGCCCCGTGGCATGTGCGCTGCGTCCGACGACGGTTTGAGGAGGTTGGCGACACAGACAGTATGAGTGACTGTGAGTCCGAACCTGAAGACTGCCTATCAGAGATCAGGACGCTGCGGCTGCACGAGAAGCCGTCTGGTTCGGTGTCGGGGACGGGACAGGACACTGACCCCCCGCCTCCCGAGCCGCCCGATACGGGAGCACCGGTGGAGACGAGTGAAGATGCAGCTGACGTTCCGAGTGAGACGTTCAGCGGTGCACGGGAGGACGCTCAGAGTACGGAAGCCCAACGAGAACGGAATGGCCAAACCGTACTGCGGCGTAGTACACGTGTGAGAAGAGCCCCGGAAGAGCTGTATGGACAGAGTGTGCCAAGCGAATGTATCGATGTTGATGATGAATAATGATGATGATTACTGATAATCAGGTGGAGGTGTAGTCAGCGGTCATGTGAGTGTGAATGAATCATGCCGTATGGAGTGACTGTAGAGTGAACCTGATCAGTGTGTAACTGGAGGGGTTGCCCGAGGCATTGTGTCAGTAGTACTAGGAAGAATGATGTGACGGGGAGCCAATGGGATGAATGATTGATGACGTGATATGACGTGATGCCCCTGTATAAATGTTGTGTGCGTTCGTGTACCGTTGAGTCGTCGTGGACCGCTAGACCTGAATAGAGTCTACCAAAGTGTTGCCCAGATCTTTTCTTCTACATCTTCTACAATCATCTTAGGTCACCTGACCATGCTCAAAAGTGCGGATAAAATTGCATGTTTTGATTCAAACAGCGTCTTCTTCATTTCGATCAACTCGGTGGCTCTCGCGTTATTTGATGGCTGAAAGATTAGCAGTCAAATAGTGGCTTATCCCATCATGCGTCTGCATTTATTGCGCAGGTGATACCTTTATTCCCGTTGAACTATGTTCGTAAAAGCTAGTTCACAAATCAAATGAATGAAATGAAATGCTTTCGTAAAATACTGCGATGCATAAGCACGGTCGTCAAGTTAGATGTAAGTGAATCCTAATCTATAATCTAAGATTCGGAATCAGGTGAGCCCCTACGATTTGGACCAAACTTGGTCAGTGGATAGTACGTAACGTCCTGATTACGATGCACCCAAAATCTAAGCTCGGCCCGCCATATTTACGAAGTTACTGATGTTTGAATTTCAAGGTCATTCGGGAGAGCCCCTACGATTTCCGTCAAAATTTGTGTACGGACACTCTAGATGCTCCTCATTACGAATATTACAAAATTTAAGCTCGGCCCGCCATATTTACGAAGTTACGGAGGTTTGAATTTCAAGGTCATTTGGGTGAGCCCCTGCGATTTCCGTCAAAATTGGCATACGGACAAATTACATCCTCCTCATTACAAATATCATAAAAGTTAAGCTCGGCCCGCCATATTTTTCAAGTTACGGAGTCACAAAGTTACGGAATTTCAAGGTCATTCGGAGAGCCCCTCCGATTTTCGTCAAAATTTGTATGCGGACACATTACATGCTCCTCATTACGAATATCGTAAAAACTAAGCTCGGCCCGCACTATTTCAAAAGTTAGGGATGTTTGAATTTCAGTGAGTTTCAAACGTCAGTAACTTTTGAAATAGTGCGGGCCGAGCTTAGCTTTTACGACATTCGTAATGAGGAGCATGTAATGTGTCCGCATACAAATTTTGACGAAAATCGGAGGGGCTCTCCGAATGACCTTGAAATTCCGTAACTTTGTGACTCCGTAACTTGAAAAATATGGCGGGCCGAGCTTAACTTTTATGATATTTGTAATGAGGAGGATGTAATATGTCCGTATACCAATTTTGACGGAAATCGCAGGGGCTCACCCAAATGACCTTGAAATTCAAACCTCCGTAACTTCGCAAATATGGCGGGCCGAGCTTAAATTTTGTGATATTCGTAATGAGGAGCATCTAGAGTGTCCGTACACAAATTTTGACGGAAATCGTAGGGGCTCTCCCGAATGACCTTGAAATTCAAACATCCGTAACTTCGTAAATATGGCGGGCCGAGCAGATTTTGGGTGCATCGTAATCAGGACGTTACGTACTATCCACTGACCAAGTTTGGTCCAAATCGTAGGGGCTCACCTGATTCCGAATCTTAGATTATAGATTAGGATTCACTTACATCTAACTTGACGACCGTTGCATAAGCTGGGTTTGTGGCTGGCTAATCCTGCGAAAGCAGTTATTGAACAGTACTGGACGCTGTCCCTATTATTTTTATTAGGCTGCGTTTTCTACTCTATTACTGAATTATCTTGCCGAATCTGTACCTTCTTTATTTTTTCTTTCATTGTTTCAATTTGCATTGGCTTATTTTTTGGTGAATTCAAATTGCATTATTTAGACTTGATTTAGACACCCTTTAGCCACTTTGTTGGAATTGATGTTGTGAAAAGCCAATGCGGTTCTCTACATTGATATTGATATACCGTGGTCAGTGCTTCAGCTCAAACTTGGCATAATTTTTACAGCCCACCACATTTCATGTTATTGGAATTGAAATCCTTATGCCAATCCTATGTCAATAATTCTAGTGGCATGATAATCATGGCACCTTCGACTTTTCTATTGATAATAATTCGCATAGACTAGAGCTTGTTGTGGACAATTTGTAATGTCTCTTGAAGGCTTCGAGAGACATTACAATGTCCACAACAAGCTCTAGTCTATGTGAATTATTATCAATAGAAAAGTGATAATTTAAATAGGCACCTAGGTTTTGGCGGGAGCCTGTAGGTATTGCATGGCAATGACAAGTATGGTCCTCACAGAAAATAATGCACAGTTAGGTATAAACTAGGGTTACCCGCGTGCTCCGCAACGCGAAGGGGGGGATTTTTTGACCCGTGGGTATTGGATTGGTCTGTGTCGATTTGATTGGTATCCATTTCGTTCGATTGCTATTTCACGACCAAGCATTTTGTAATAAAACAACGATACATCGCATCGAGGTGCCCGTGTCGTATTATCATGCGTTCTGCTTAAGAATGATTCGAAAACTGGCGTGAAGTCTTTTGAGGGCCATCGATGAATTTCGCTAAAAATGACAATGTAATGGTTTGGAACATTAACATTTTTAAGAATACTGTTGCTCATCCTGCAAACGTGAAGACTGAACCTTGGACAGAATTGAATGCTCTTTCCAACGGTGCCATTTTTAACTGCCGAAGATATCAGATTATGGAGTAAAACCATTTTGATAAACAAAGTGGCACAAAATTGACAAACACCATTTTCTCACGTGATTCGTACCACCTTGAATTGGATCAATCAGCTTTTCACAATTTTTATATGATAGGCGGTACATTTCTCTTGCCAACAGGCGTTGTTCCAACTCGCTCTGTTAAACGGTCACCTAATAATAAAATCAATTCCAAAATCCGCCCAAAAACCGCAATTTTTCAACAAAAGTGCCCTCCCCGGTGCACGTGGCGCGTGCTATCCTCTATATCGCACACCATTCAATTGCCCATTCAATTATCTACACGATGCTGTTTTCCCCGTGCCGGTCGGACCCCTGGTCACCAAGATATTGCACCGGGACTGGACCCGTGTCGGCCAAAATTAGCCGTTTTCGCCCGATTTCGCACGCCGATTTATACATGTAAAGTCTATGACGCGAATTTGCACTTTTTGGACACGCGCCAAGCGCTCACTAACGACCCGATCGAGCTGAGACCCCTCAAAGGCACGTCGCGCATCCTTGATCTATGAGTTGTGCAAATTTCACCGGGCTAGGTGCAACGGTCTGGCCTGTAGTCCACGCAAAGCACCACCAAGTCGGGACCTCGGTAACGGACAGACGCACCCACCACAAATAGTAGGGGAGAGTGGTGCAGGAGGCCCCCCCTTAAGCTCAGTTACTATTTTTAGACAACTGATAATATTTAAGCGCTAACGTGTGCATGCGCTGTGAGCATGCATCATTTTCCCATACATATTTGCATTCAAAATGAATCTAGGGGGTACACAAACCGTAAACTTAAACATTTTGGAAAAAGTTGCAAAAGGGCCTCTTACACTATGGGTATGGTAAGACGCCCCCCCCCCTCGGGCGTTTTAAAAGTCAAGTCGACTTGTAAAAGACGCTTTGCGAACACAGCTGCAAGGCCTTTTATTTCGAAAAGCTAAGCAAATACGGTGTTATCGAAACCAATAACACTTCCAAAGCGCTCGAACAATGCGAAAACTAGCACAACCAAACGCTGATGACCAACGAAAATTGTACCTATAACCTCTAAGAAAAGAAACAGAAAAAAGAAACAAAAACAAACTCCTTGAAAAAAGAATGCCACGCCTGCCGCAGGTGCAGGCGTTTTAGCATCGGGGGCGTTTTTTATCGGGGGGCGTTTTATCATCCTCGAAGGGAGGGCCTCTTAAAAAATACAGTGTTTTAACGTCCACAATATTTATGGTTTATGAGACATTTGCAGCGCACCAGAACATGGTCTATTCTGAAGCTAACATGTGACAATTTCGATGAGAAAAGATTGCATTTGATAGCCATTGTTTTTTTCAGATATATAAGGGTGATAAAGATGCATATATCTAGCAAGTAAAGGGGCAAAAACAGAAAGAGGCTTACCAAAATTCGCTGCGACGCACCTGATACCTCAGGTTTCGTGAGTTGTTGTTTCAAGAGGGCTTCTGCTTTACAAGAACATTAAAAAATAAATAACATTATTGGTTTGGTAAAAAAAGCGATGGGGCCTCTTACCGACCCTGGGCGTCTTACACGGATCTCCCCTAATATAGATTAAAATTAAATGCACAGCAATAAGCACAGGTAATTAAAGTAAAGTGGCAATCTACCAACCTGTATAAGCACCATAATTAAATATCATTGGAAAATAAGTTTTTTACCCTAACCAATTTGAAAAATAGCTAAAACAAATGAAAATGTGTACTTTGAGTATTGAGTAACATGTAGGTACTTTTGTCATGTAATTAACAAGCATTTAATTAACAAGCATTTCAAGCACAAAATGCATAAATTATATAATGAATTTGGTCTTTACAGGATGTAGCAATATACTGTTCCTACCTAAGCAATATACTTAGGTGAAGATGTAAGGAAGCTGATATTGGCTTGCATTTTAATTCTTCTAGTCATCATCTTGTCATATTGATGTAAGTATGTGGGCAACCTTTTACTAGTTACAGGTCCAATTTATTTTGTGTTTAGTGAAATGTGCTCAGGGCTGCAAGTTCATTATGTTTGCTATTATTTGGTGCTTTATCATTTTGTGCTGCAGACTCATCAAAATGCACTTCTGAAAGTCTTGCAGCTATAGATAGCTACCATTGTTAGTTATGTGGGCTGTGGGCATGCATGTGATGTGTTCATCACAGCCAGTCATTATTTTCTTTTTTCTTTCCAGCTCAGTCACAAGCAAGCTCTGAACTGCAAACATGAAGTTTGCAGAGCACCTATCAGCACACATCACTCCAGAATGGAGGACCCAGTATATCCTGTACGAGGTGAGTTGGGACATTGGAATTGCATTGAAATATGAAAAATGTATGACCTGCAGGACATGTGGTGCCCACAACTCACAAGCAGTGGCATCATGCATCATATATATATATATATATATTTTTCAACCAATCTGGGATATGGTGAAATTGGACTTTTAGTGATCTCTGGCTACATCATTTTTATACCTATCTCAGAAAAATACCATCACTTTGGTGAATCAACCTTTTCCTGCTCTTTTCAATGCCATTGGCCGTTTTTCACTTTACTGATTGGAGCTCTAGATCTTTGGGGAGGGTGGGGGAGGGGGGACAGTTTGACATCTTCCACCCAGACCCATTGCCTCTCACTGAATTCCACATTTCCATGTCATGCTGCCAAAGAAATGGCAAAAAAGCTGAGAGCTTGGTTCCTGGTCTCATTGCATAAATGCAGGTACCTACTTAGTAGATGTGGGATTGTGGCCATCCTGAGGTGAACCTGGCCTCAGCTCTGCAGTGACCCATGTACCCTGCCCTGACCTCCGACCCCGGTCTCGCGCCCTGCCCTCTGGCCCAGCCCTGACCCGGCGGTGCGCCGTGTCTGCCGCGCAGGAGATGAAGACGATGCTGTACGCGGCGGTGGAGAAGGCGCCGTCGGCCGAGGTGGTGGACGAGGAGGACGTCCAGCGCTACTACGCCGGCTTCGACGAGCACTTCCTCCACTTCTGCGACAAGGAGCTCAAGAAGATCAACACCTTCTTCTCGGGTGAGGGTTTCAGGCGGCTCGCGTTCCGAGTGTCGTGGCCCGGCAGATAGCTGTATCCCGCTGTATCCTTCCGCGGAGCGAGGAGTGTCGAGCCTGGGACACTCGCTGGTAAAATGCGCGCCCTTAAACCACCGGCTGACATTGTTGCGGGTTTGTGACACCGTGTGTCGACCGTCGATCAACTGTGATGTGTTTTATGGACTATCTACCGACCATGGCTGACCTGTGAGCTGTGATCCGCTGTCGAACTGACCAGTGACCTGTCACCTGTCACTGACCTGTGACCCGCTGATTTGTGACCCTCCGCTCGGACTGACCCCTGACCGGCCGCCCCCACAGAGAAGCTGGCCGAGGCGCAGCGCAAGTACGCCAGTCTGCAGAGCGAGCTGACGGCGCGACAGGACGCCGAGGCGCTGGCCGGCTCCAACAAGTCGCGCGCGTTCACACTGCGCCGGCGCACCTCCGTCCGGAAGGCGCAGAACCTCAAACTGGCCTTCTCAGAGTTCTACCTCAGCCTCATCCTGCTGCAGAACTACCAGAGCCTCAACTTCATGGGCTTCAAGAAAATCCTGAAGAAACATGATAAGGTAAACTGCAGTTCCTCCATTGGGTTTAGCCTCGATTCTCTTCGATATAAGGATTCTCAATCGTGTCAGAGACGATGAAGCTTGTGCTCAGCCGTGTCTCCTTTCGGTAGCCGGCCTCTTCAAAATAGATTACGGTATTTTGTTTATCTCTGATTCTGTCGATTTTGTCACATTGTGATTCCCATCGGTACAATATCGCCCCAGTGTGCGCTGTGCCAGTGTGCTGACGCGCTGTGCGGCGCGCGCAGATCCTGTCGGTGGAGACGGGAGCCAAGTGGCGCATGGAGAACGTGGAGACGGCCGTGTTCTATACCAACAAGGACATCGACAAGCTGATCCGCGCCACCGAGAACCAGGTCACCGCCGACCTCGAGGGCGGCGACAGGTCAGTCACGGCGCCCGCCGACGGCGCGGTGACAGCACCGGACGCTGGTCACCGCGGCGGTGTCAGTAGTGCTGTGTGACTGTATTACGGCCTGGCACGTGTTCCGCTGTAACGCAATGCCTGTGCGCCGTCGGCAGGCAGAAGGCGATGAAGCGTCTGCGCGTGCCGCCGCTGGGTGAGCAGCAGTCGCCGTGGACCACGTTCAAGGTGGGCCTGTTCCTGGGCGCGTTCGTCGTGCTGGTGGCCGCCGTCATACTGACGGCCGTGTTCCACGCCGACGGCCACCGCTGGCTGACGGTGGTGCGCCTGTTCCGCGGACCGCTGCACGTCACGCTGTTCATCTTCCTGATCGGCATCAACGTGCACGGCTGGCGCTCTGCCGGAGTCAACCACGTGCTCATCTTCGAGCTGAACCCGCGCAGCCACCTGTCTGCGCAGGCGCTGATGGAGATCGCCGCCATATTCGGCGTCATCTGGGCCGTCATGGTGCTCTGCTTCCTCTACAGGTGAGGGACGGTGCTCTGCTTCCTCTACTGGTGAGGGACGGTGCTCTGCCTCCTACTGGTGAGGGACGGTGCTCTGCTTCCTCTACAGGTGAGGGACGGTGCTCTGCCTCCTACTGGTGAGGGACGGTGCTCTGCTTCCTCTACAGGTGAGGGACGGTGCTCTGCTTCCTCTACTGGTGAGGGACGTTGCTCTGCCTCCTACTGGTGAGGGACGGTGCTCTGCTTCCCCTACAGGTGAGGGACGGTGCTCTACCTCCTACTGGTGAGGGACGCCGGTGCTCTGCTTCCTCTACAGGTGAGGGACGGTGCTCTGCTTCCTCTACAGGTGAGGGATGGTGCTCTGCCTCCTACTGGTGAGGGACGGTGTTTTGCTTCCTCTACAGGTGAGGGACGGTGCTCTGCTTCCTCTACAGGTGAGGGACGGTGCTCCGTCTCCTACTGGTGCAGGGGACGGCGCTCCGTCTTCTACTGGTGAGGGGATAGTGCTCCGTCTCCTACTGGTGAGGGACGGTGCTCTGCTTCCTCTACAGGTGAGGGACGGTGCTCTGCTTCCTCTACTGGTGAGGGACGGTGCTCTGCTTCCTCTACAGGTGAGGGACGGTGCTCTGCTTCCTCTACAGGTGAGGGACGGTGCTCTGCTTCCTCTACTGGTGAGGGACGGTGCTCTGCCTCCTACTGGTGAGGGACGGTGCTCTGCTTCCTCTACTGGTGAGGGACGGTGCTCCGTCTCCTACTGGTGAAGGACGGTGCTCCGTCTCCTATTGGTGAGGGGGACTGACGGGCCGGCAGCAGGGAGCTGGGAGGGCAGGGCAGTTGACTTGGTGGACTACGCCACTGAAGGTGCTGTGGGCGTAAAATGACCTCAGGCAGTCGGCGCGCCCTAAAGCCCTAATTAACAAACACCTAACAAGGTGTGATAAACTGTGTACATGATGCATCAGAAGTGGCCGGCCGCCTGTTGGTGGGACTGACACTGTCTTCCCGGCCTTTCAGTGACAGTCTGGGCATCCCGCCGTACCTGAACCCTCTGATACTCACCGTCTTCATGGTGGCCTTTCTGCTCAATCCGACCAAGTCGCTGCGGCACGAGGCGCGCTTCTGGCTCATCAAAATCGTCGTGAGTACCCGCCCGCGCCTTCAGCTCTGGTGCTCCGGCTGCCCTCTAGGCAGGGGCACCTACTGCTGCCTGGCCCGTGTAGGCCACTAGGGGGACAGGTATGTACAGTCCACAGCAGAAGTAATGTGCGGTTTCATTCATGGGTATGTTCTGCTTCTGAAGCTTAGAAACGATTAGCCTGACTACAATGAAACTTTGAATGTAGCTTACATGTATTGTCACCCTTGCAGCTGCAACTTCATCTATTGACGTCTTCTGTTCGATCACTCCGCATTTAAAAATCGTCAGTCAAAGCCATCCTGCTGAGGTTGGTAAAACTGCACATTACTTTAGCAGTGGACTGTACTTAGTTCCCGTGTAGACCACCAGGGGTCCGGTATCTAGTTCCATTGTTTACCACCAGGATTCGCGTGGTGTGGTTCCCGTTTTTTGCCACGAGGGGTGCGGTGTTTCGTTCCCCTGTAGGCGGCCGGAGGTCCCCGTGTGGCCGGGACTGGTCCGGCCGTGCGCTGTGCCGTCCCGGCTGACCGACACCTCCCCTGCGCCGGCAGTGCCGCGTCCTGTGCGCGCCATTCTGTCACGTCGGGTTCGCCGATTTCTGGCTGGCCGATCAGATCAACAGCCTGGCCTCGGTGCTGCAGGACCTCGACTTCCTGGTCTGCTTCTACGTCACACAGGGCGGCGAGTGGTCCGAGCAGGTGGACGGTGAGTGGCGGCACGGTCCGAGCAGGTGGACGGTGAGTGGCGGCACGGTCCGCGCAGGCGGACGGTGAGTGACGGCGCGGTCCGAGCAGGCGAACGGTGAGTGACGACACGGTCCGAACAGGCGGACGGTGAGTGGCGGCACGGTCCGAGCAGGTGGACGGTGAGTGGCGGCACGGTCCGAACAGGCGGACGGTGAGTGGCGGCACGGTCCGAGCAGGTGGACGGTGAGTGGCGGCACGGTCCGAGCAGGTGGACGGTGAGTGGCGGCACGGTCCGAGCAGGTGGACGGTGAGTGACGGCACGGTCCGAGCAGGTGGACGGTGAGTGACGGCACGGTCCGCCCTACCGCAGCCGGCGTGCTCGTCGCCGCTGCCGACCACACGCGACGCCCAGCACTGACTCGCCTGCTCAGCTGACCCCTGCCTGTCTGCTCAGCGGCTGAGTCGGTGCCCCTCTACTCAGCTGACCCGGTGCCCCTTTACTCAGCTGACCCTGCCCCTCCGCTCAGCTGACCCGTCCCCTCTGCTCAGCTGACCCCTGCCTCTGCTCAGCGGCTGAGTCGGTACCCCTCTGCTCAGCTGACCCTGCCCCTCTGCTCAGCTGACCCGGCGTCCCCTCTGCTCAGCTGACCCGTCCCCTCTGCTCAGCTGACCCGTCCCCTCTGCTCAGCTGACCGGCGCTCCCCTGTCGGCGCAGACACGGACGGCTACAGCTGTTTTTCGCCGTCGTTCGTGTCTGGTGTGGTGATGCGCTGCCTGCCGGCCTGGTTCCGGTTCGCGCAGTGTCTGCGCCGCTACCGCGACACGCGCGAGGCCTTCCCGCACCTGGTCAACGCCGGAAAGTACTCGACCACCTTCTTCAAGGTGGCGTTCAGCACCATGTTCCAGGCCACGATCGGTGAGCGGCGGCACTGGGGCTGTATCGGAAATATTCAGCTGTATTCTATGAGGAGTGTAGGAGTGTATTGTTTTGATGTGTTTCCAAATTAGATCAATAGTTGCCCGTTCCCCACACGCTGCTGCTCAATCGTCTCGGCTGACCGGGGGATCGGGATGCTGTTACAGGCGAGTACGACAGTCCGTTTGAGAACCCGTACTTTTACCTGTTCGTGGCCAGCCAACTGACCAGCTCTATCTACACGTACACGTGGGACATCAAAATGGACTGGGGTCTGTTCGACAAGAACGCCGGCGACAACACCTTCCTGCGAGAGGAGCTCGTCTACTCGACGCAGGTGCGTGCGCCGCTCGGCAGCGCTGATTTGCAGAGAATCGCCTGAGGTTTGCACCGTACCGACACGCGGTGGGCTTAGATAGAAGGCAAGTATGCCAGCCGGGGTCGGTCGCCGTGCCCCAGCCTTTCTCGGCTGTCTCTGACTGTATGATTCGGCTGTACGGCTCTATCTCTGGCCCGGCTGACTGTCTGTCCTTGTCGTCAGGTGTACTATTTTGCCATCGTGGAGGACTTTATCCTGCGCTTCTTCTGGGCTGTGAGCCTGGTGGTGTCACTGGTTCGGCCCGGCGTGCCCACTGTGCTCACTGTCATCGCGCCGCCGCTCGAGATATTCAGGTGGGCGCCGCAGTTCGCACCCTGACCCCGCTACTGACACTGATATACGGCCAACATCACCCACACACTGGCAGCTCAGTGTAACACCCGCCCGGTCCGTGTTGGAGCTGTTCTATACCTGCCTAATCCAGGCGTCTGTGCTCACCTGGACCCTGTCAGTGCAGCTCAGCTCTGAGTTGGCCGGTCCCTTCTGGTGTCTGACGGTGCGGTGTAATGTTCCTCCGACCACACGGGTGTGTCCGCTGTGGCGCGCCGCCCTGACCGCCGCCCCGCCCGGCAGGAGGTTCGTGTGGAACTTCTTCCGCCTGGAGAACGAACACCTGAACAACTGCGGTAAATTCCGCGCCGTCCGAGACATATCCGTGGCGCCCATCGACGCGTCCGACCAGGCAGAGGTACGTGTGTACCCTGTACCCGGTACTGTACTCGGTGCCAATGTTTACTCTGTACCGTCCGACCAGGCAGAGGTACGTGTGTACCCTGTACCGGTACTGTACTCGGTGCCAGTATTTACTCTGTACCTTCCGACCAGGCAGAGGTGGATGTTACTGTCTGAGCGAAGCGAGCATAGTCTTTCGTAGATTAACGGAAATTTCTTAGTATGAGCGGCCGGCCGGCCGTGTGGACGCTTTTGCGAGGCTTATATCTCAGCAACCACTTGACCGATTTACATGCGGTAATTTTGTAGGGTAGCTTCATTCCTTTTACCAAGTATTCCCTATGCATGTGGGTGACCCCTTACGCACGTGCCACGTGCAAAACGAAGAGGTGTCAGTTTTGTAACAATTGCAATATCTCGGTAACTACTAAGCCGATTGCTCTGAAAGTTGGCATGTAGGTAGGCACCCACTAGGCAATGCATATCCATGTGCAACAGTTGGGGTGCTGCTGTACGTGCGCACGTGCAGGGTACCGCTTCCAGATCTCGAAAACGGCTAGGCCGGTTGCGCTCAAATTTGGCACATCGCTAGAAACCGGTTAGTAGGGTGCCGTGCACAACTTAGTTGGAGGTACCCCCTCGCAATTTCGCACGTGCAAGACCCACCCTCTCGCTCGCTTCGTTGGTCGCCCCAAAAGGCGTTTTACCGGTTTAAGCTTTTATCTATCAGTATAAAACTTCTCGCTTCAAGAAAGTCAATTAGTGAGTTTTTTATATACTTTCTGCAGTTATTTCTCCCCGACCTTTATCATTAGCCCTTGTTTCGTCTGTTTTCCGTCAGATAATTCGTATGATGGACGAGGATAACGGCGTGACGAACCGCCGGAATCGGCGGAAGCCGGGCGCCAACAAACGTAAGGACGAGCGGCGCCTGCTGCTCGACGGCGAGGAGGCCGACGAGCAGACCTACCTGTCCGTCACCTCCGCCGACATCCGCTCCTGGTTCAGGAACCTGTCTGGGCAGCGCGGCTCGCGCTCCCGCGGCCTGCCGCACCCGGCTCAGTACCACCACACCGACACCTTCTCCTAGAGACCCACCCCACCGGGCCAGTACCACCACACCGACACATTCTCATAGAGACCCACCCCACCGGGCCAGTACCACCACACCGACACATTCTCCTAGAGACCCACCCCACCGGGCCAGTACCATCACACCGACACATTCTCATAGAGACCCACCCCACCGGGCCAGTACCACCACACCGACACATTCTCCTAGAGACCCACCCCGGGGGGCCAGTGGGCCAGTACCATCACACAGACTTCATGAGGAGTGAGAGAGCTTATTAGTGAAGAAGCTGAGTCGTAGGCGTCAAAACATATATCTGATGTCTGAACACATCGCCCATTGTGATACCTAGGAGTTTGTGTGCTCCTTTTGTGCGCGGCCTAGTCAATATAGTATAGTGTGATAAATAAATGTCATTTATCGCAGTGGACGCGGTCGGTCGGTGTTCACCCTGTCGGCCGGCGCGTCTGGTCTGCGCTCTCACGTCAGCGGTGTGTTAGCTGTGCGGCAGTCGCGGCCCTGTCCGAGACCGTCTTGGGGCTGAGGCCGGGGTGGGAGGCTCAGGTGTCGGGTGCCGGGCCGCGCGGTGTGTGATGTGTACTGACCAGTGCGTTTCCCGACCAGCGCTCATACACCTTACCGTCTGCCTTCTATCACAAAGAACGTCATCCAGCCTGCTAGTGATCCGGGGCGTTTCCCGGTCCAGCAATCCTTTTTGGAATTAGGAACCATCATTTTGACAGCACAACCCCATAGGATCATAGTGCTGCTGTGAATTATCCGGCCCTTTTGTTACCCCGCTGGGGCGCCGGTCCCGCCCGCCGGTCGGCGCCCCGTGCCCAGCCCAGGCCGGCTGTGACCCGTGTCGAGGTCGCCTCCGGTCCCTCCCGTCGCCGCCGGGGTCTCGAGGTCGGCTCGGCGCGGCCGCCGGGGTAAGTGGAGGGCGAGTGGCGCCACTGCAGCTCGCCTTATAGCACAGTGTGCTGCCCGCCGCCCGGACTGCCTGTGTGCCGTGCCGGCACAGTGTGCTGCCCGCTGCCCGGCCTGCCTGTGTGCCGTGCCAGCACAGTGTGCTGCCCGGACTGCCTGTGTGCTGTGCCAGCACAGTGTGCTGCCCGGACTGCCCGTGTGCTGTGCCGTGTGCGCGTCACGCAGACGCCGCCCTCTCTTCGAGCTATTTTATGATCCGTGCACGCAGTTCGTTTTTGTTTTAGCCGTACAGCTTATTCTATTTCTGACCGTTGACTAGAGCGTTCCCCGTGAGCGGCCGCTTTGCTTGCATCACAGTTTCTCGGCCTTTTTGTCTGTGATAGTTTGGTGCATACATAGATCCGTAGACCTGCGGGACTTATATACCATCCTCTCCAGTGGCTGGCAGCTGCGATCGACACCGGCGGCCTGCGATACGGTAGTCTAGGTCCATACTGGGGCACTTCCAACTTCTGCTTAACAAACATTTTGGCGTTTTCTGGGGTAGGTAACCACCTGTCCATCGAATCAAAGGGGGATCGAACTATTCGCTTATTTGCTAATTGAAGTGCACTTTTTATGCTAGTATGTTTGCATTTTTTTCTGCAAACAAGGTCGACTTTTGGCCTGTCTACACACCCTCGACACTGTTACAAATCGTTTGTTGTTGTACTAATGTACATCTGGTCCCAAACCATATTCCTGCCTTTTCTCTCTTCATCAGCTGAAGGCTTCTTTACACCACAGACGTTTTTTAGCTGTTCGCGACATGCTCTCAGTTGTGACTGCATGCGATTTATCATAGTCAGCTTTGCTTTGTGACACATTTTTATTTGCTCTTCTCCCTGCTGATTTGTTGTTGCATTCATTAGATTTCTTTGTGTGCCAGTCATTTGTTTATATGCGTTTATATTGTATGTTATCGTCGCGTTTTTTGCCCCTTTATGATAACGTCTGGCGTTGAAAACAACAAGCATAATAATCCAAAAGTACCTTGCATTGAATCTTTGTAGGCTTCGCTAACACATAGTATTCATTAACAATTTCTAAAATAATTATTTCGTATTATGTATAACTCTTAACTATTTTATTCATGTTATCCTACCAGTTAAAGAGGAACTCATGTGTCATACGGTAACCGTAAGTATATAATAATTCAGTTCAATACTTCGGTGTTTATCACTTTGTCTGCGTCCCATGTGTGCTGTAACGTTGTTAGTCTGTGTTCTCTGTGTGCGGTTTGTCTGTCTGTGTCGGTCTGTCGGGATCAGTGCGATGCTCTGACGCGGCGGTGGCGACTCTCCGGCAGAGTGGGCCATGGAGCGGAACCTGCTCTCCCTGGCGCGCACATTCACCGTGGCGCCCATCTCGGCGATGACGCCGTCGGCGCCGCCGCCGCCGCCGCCGCCGGCTCCCATCACACGCACGCCGCCCGGCGGGGTAGATGTCGACCAGCTGCACGCTAAACTGGCCTGAGCCCGGCCCGGCCCCGGCCACTGCTGGCCTGAGCTCGGCCCGACCCGGCCACAGCTGGGCTGAGCTGTCCCGGCCCGGCCACTGCTGGGCTAAACTGGCCCCGGCCCGGCCACTGCTGGACTGAGCTCGGCCCCGGCCACTGCTGGCCTGAGCCCGGCCCGGCCCGACCACTGCTGGGCTGAGCCCGGCCCGACCCGGCCACTGCTGGGCTGAGCCCGGCCCCGGCCCGGCCACAGCTCTGTTCGCCGCCGCCCCGCGGACGGCGCCGAACGGGGGGGGGGGGATGGCTCTCGCTCGCCGTCCGTGTCCCGGTGTAGGTGTTTCTCTGTATGCATGTGTGACCGGGCTCCGGGAGCCCCGCTGTGCCGCGAGTCTCGAACGAGGAGCCTGCGGGGCCTTCGACCTGGACTCGGAATTCGGTCCGTTAGCCGACTGAGCATTCGAACATTTTAGACTATGCGTTTTACCAGTACATAGCTCTTGAAGGCGTGAAATGCGCATATTGTGCAGCTCTTATACGAATAAGTGGAGTGTGCAGTCCGATGGGTTGGGTTGTGGCTCAGCACGACGTCTTGTAGGATACGGTATTGGTGGTATTGACTGGTCCCGACTGTCGGGTAACATTCCACATTGGGTGGCCGCAACCAGGTGCCTCCTATGAGCAGATAGGTACTCGGCGAATGCTCAGCAGCTGATAGCGTAGGATGGATCATTATTACTGAGCATGTTTTTAGTGATATAGCCTGCCATGGCCTCTCGTTCGTTCCCATAAATACATTATATGACCGCAGCAGCTGAGCGTTTGTTTCGGGTCTGTCGATGGAACGCTAGCGCTGACAGATTTATTTAGACCGAGGAGTGGTTAAACACACGGGTTTATTAATAATGTAACGAGTCCGCTATTTCGTTCCAGGAAATTAAAACGAGATTCAGTAACATTGGAACGAAACGTGCCCACTTGTCGCAAAGAGCTACACTAACTTTCTGGACTCTGCACCGGGTTCCCCTCTATTCTGATTCGTAAAAGACCAGTGCAAACCACCACACCCCACCACGACAAAGGTTTAGAGTAGCCGGGGGTGAGTGCGGCAGCCGGAGAGTAACCTTGCGTTCGACATCTGGAAAATGAGCGGTAATTATCCAGGATCACCGGTAATTATTTGGAATTGCAGGGACCATTGATGCGATTAGTCACATTTTCATATTGCACTTGCTTCACAAATGGCTGTTTTGATCGTTGCCATGTTTGTTGTGAGCGGCGTCAGCCTAAAACACCGTATCACCGCGGCATCCTGGCAAATTATCCCTGATTATCCGGATTCCGCACGCCAAGTAGGCAGAGAAACGGACAGAAGCCTTGCACGATGAGTCGTGTCCGTGACGAGTACCTACTCGTGCCGAACGGCCGGCCCGACCGTGACAGCGAGCCGCTGCGGCGCGCCCGGCCGGCCCGGCCGCATGCTAAGTGAGTCAGGGGCGCCCGGGGCGGCGGCGAACCGTTTCTGGGCACCAGGAGGTCAGGATGCGACGGTGACCCCGCGGCCGGCGCGGGAAGGTCCGTGCGGCTGACCCACATGCCTCAGATGAGCGGCGATCGGCGCTCTGTGACTGCGCTCCGACTGTGCAGTCCGCTGTCCTGCCGCCCGTGACTGGTGTGACTGCGCTCGGCGCCCTGTGACTGGTGTGACTGCGCTGGTCGCTCTGTGACCGGTCGCTCGGCTGTCCGGTGTCCGGGCGCCATGAGCGGCGCGGCGTGTCCGTACAGCGTGCCGCTGGCGGTCAGCTCGGCCGTCACCTCGCTCTCGGTGATCACCGTTACCTGCGTGGGCACCATGGAGCGCAACTGCAGCGGGGCGGGACGCGCGTCGCTCCGACCGCTCCTGGTCACCAGTTGGCTGCGCGGCGGCGGCGACGGCCTGCAGGTAACGACGGACTGTGGTGTGCGCCCCCGCTCCCCCTCCCCCACACACACCGGCGCCTGCCAGTGTTACACTGCACACTGAATACTCGATAGCGTCAGTTACGCATGGCGGGATCCAGTTTCCATAGAGGCCGGGCCCGTTCCCAGCTGCAAATGTCTTGGACTCTCGACCACTCCGTTTGTCAGCCTGTCAAGACGGACTGCAGTCCGTCGTGATAAATTTGCATTATTGACGCAGTCCTTGCTGCATGCAGCAAGGACTGCGTCAATAATGCAGATTTATTTCGTTGCGGTAGCTGGCCGCGCCCTTTGATCGATTCGGGTTCAGGTTTCATTATTCCCGAATCCCGATCCTGTAGGTCTTATGACTCTATTTGATTAATACCTAAGTCATTGAAAAATTGGACTGCAGTCCAATTTTTCAATGATTCAATGGCTTAGTGATTCAATGGTGGGTCACCATGGTGACCCACCCAATGCCTCTGGAGGTCATGCTGGTCAATAATCATCAAAGACCTCGTGCATTTTTACCGATGAAGTTTGATAAAGTCATGCTAGAGCGATGCAAACTGGCATGGGTGTGTTAGCCCGACAATGTAGATCAATTGTTACTAGGTAGGGGAAGCGGGGGTAGCACCGCCATGTGGGAAACACCCATAGGCGGCGGAACGATTTGAGACAAGGGGGGGCACCATGGCTCAAGGAGCCAAACCTAGGGTACCCCCAAATCCTGTTTTCTCATCGGATTTAGGCCACTTATTTTTCGTCACAGCCCTGACACGATGATTTTTTTTATTTTTTTTTACTAAACGAAAATGGCAGTTCACCCCCGTATGCAGGGGTGTACCTAATTTTATATCTCTTTGTGGGGGCATATGCACCCACAATCCTGAATTATGCCCCCACAATGATGAAAAAGCACCCACAAGTCTTTTACAAGGCTGCAAGCGTCCTTTCGAGAGCACGGTGCCCTTCGCATGCTCTAACGGCGTCCTCCTGACCGTCTCGCGTTCATGTACCGGGGTTACATGAGCAAGTAAATGCGTATCAGGAACGGATTTTCCTATTCGCTCACCATTGTAGTCCGTTTGTAATGCGTATTAACTCTGCTCATGTAACCCCGAGCATGGATAGCGTTTTTAATCATCACTCGGCGCCCTTCTGGGAGAATGGCGCACTTTTGACAGCACCGCGCCATTCTCATGGTCTAACGGCGCCCTCCTGACCGTCTCGCGTCCTTAGGTCTCTGTTCGCCGTGCATCCCTCGACTATTCGGCGCCCTTCTGGCCTCTCAGCGCCCCTGAACCACATATAGCGTTTTCAATCACTCGGCACCCTTTTACGAGAATGGCGCCCTTTTCATGATCTCAAGGCGCCCTCGTAACCATCTGGCGCCCCCACGTCCCCACCAACGTAGCACTACTGACTGTGCGGTGCCCTTCTGGCCTCTTAGCGCCCCTAGACCACATAGCGTTTTCAATCACTCGGCGCCCTCCTAAGAGAATGGCGCCCTTTTCATCGTCTCACGGCGCCCTCGTAAGTCGTAACCGTCTGGCGCCTCCACATTTGGTGCCCCTCCTACTGGATGGCGCCTCTCTACATATTTTTACGTCCTTCCGGTCAGTTTCCACTTTTAAGCGTGTATTTGCTTAGTCAGACACGTCACTTGAAGCGCCATTCGGCTAGCAATGTTATCAAATTCGGTGTTAATTTAGGCTCCCACATAAAGAATATCTATCGCGCCCCAAAACGGCCTGGCGCCGGGCGCCCCTACAGCTGGGCACCCACAATCATTTTAGGAAAATTACACCCCTGCCCGTATGTGTGGTTAACTTTAAGCTGATCCTCAAGTACCTATGTGTTTGTCTCTTCCTTATTGTCGTTTGATAAATTCCATTTATCCTACATGTATAATTCCCAAGAAGCCATCGCAGTACTAATCAGTGGCGAATCCCAGGGTGGAGGTCACATGTGTCATGACTTAGGGCCTGGGGTCACCACATGGCTGCCAGGAGCACCACAGGCCTGACAGCCGACAGGGGCACCACAGGCCCGCCAGGGGTGCCAAAGGCCTAGCAGGGGCACCACGGGCCTGTCAGTGGCACCACAGGCCTGTCAGGAGCACCATCGGCCTAGCAAAAGCACTACAGGTCTTCCAGGGGCACCACAGACCTGCCAGGGGCACCAGAGGCCTGTCAGGGACACTATCGGCTTCGCAGGGGAACCACCGGCTTTGCAAGGGCACCATGGGCCTGTCAAGGGCACCACAAGCCTGTCGTTGGCAATTTAGGATTGTCAGAGGCACCACAAACCTGTCAAGGGCACCTACGTTCTAACAGGGGCACCACAAACCTGCCAAGGCCCAGGGACACCACAGGCCTAGCAAGGACACCACAGGCCTGTCAGGGGCACCACGGGCCTGTCAGGGCCCATGGGCACCTAAGTCATGTCAGGGCCCACCGTAGGCTTGTCAGGGGGCAGGGTAGGTAGGTACCACAGTCTTTCTAGGGGCACCAGCGGCTTAGCAGGGGCACCAGTCATCACATGACTAACCAAAAATAAAGAAAAAAAATGAAAATAGGGCACCACCAAAATTAAGTGGCCGAAATCCGTTGAGGTTTTAATTTTGGGCATAGGTAGGGGCACCACTTCGATTCATGAACCTCCCCTTTCCCGAATTTCCCGAGTTTTCCCGAATCCGCCCCTGGTACTAATACATCAAATTTAAGGGGGGGCACCTTGCTATTGGTGCCCCCCTTGCAGAATCCAAGGGGGGGCACGGTGCCCCGGTGCCCCCCCCCCCCCGTTCCGCCGCCTATGGAAACACCGCCATCCTCTCTATCGGCAAAACTCTGAATTGTAAATGTAAACACCCGCCATTTCGGTGTCCGACCGGAAACGGGACGCCGCGTGAGGTAGGTTTCGCTAAGATTTATTTGATTTTGAGATCGCAATTGCCCATTTTGTGAATTTCAAACCATCGTTGTAATCATTTGGCATGTTTGAGCAGCAAGTAAGTGGTCATTTCAAGTCAAAATGCCTTGATTTTTACGTTAAATTTGAGGGCATGAAGTGCTCTTTGTTGAGAAAGGAATTACAGAAGAATCGCGTCCCGGCTTGTTTTGCTGTCGGGGCGTTGTCGGTCCATGACTGTGAGTGGGGTAACACCGCCATGCTCGGCGGTGCCAGGGGGCGTCGAAGTCTAGTAGGAAAATCTGGAAATCCCCGGCGTGACGTCACGTCGGGGATGACCGACGGCACCTTGCACTGAAAGATACGGCAGAACGGTTATTTGTGAAAAATGATTAAAAATACTTTTGTGCTGTTATGACACATAAAACACTGATCAGCATGTTCCTCATCATGTGATAAAGGCAAATCCGTGGTCGAAAATAGCCGAGACCCTCCCAATTTCCAACCATCGACCTGATAAGCAAAGGATGTAAGCGTAACCCTTAAGGGCGACTTTCCGTTACATATCTGTACATATGCAGCCTTATGGAAATCGGTAGTTTGGCGATTGGCGACGCGCGCGACATCTGTGCTGCGACTGTAGCGACGCCTGGTGGCTGCTTTTCTGCTGTATGTAGGTATTGGGGTTTTGCCAGATGTGGTTCCTACTGCTACACCACTATGTTGACCCAATACTAGAAAAGTTATTTTGCTAGTAAAAGGCAAGCAAATTGAAAGTTGATTTATAAAATTGTTTATAAATGATTACGAGATAATAATAAACAATTTTTGATTGAGCAATTATTTAAATAACAAACCGTGAAACTATATTCTGGTAGGTTTAGTAGAAATAAGTCCGTGCAACCTTGTATTTAGGGCCTTGGGCGGTGCTACCCCAAGGGGTGGCAAAATGGATAAAGCCGCAATGATGATTCACTCAGCTCGGAGAAGAGCTTTAGTTAGGCCGCAAACGTCGTCTGTTTTTTAACCTCACGTTTGACTTCACTGGATGTTTCGAAATAAACGTGAATTTGTCATGCTTTGTATGCATATTGTCCGCAACAAACAGTTTGATCTGTGACAAACTAACAACCAACTCTTGTGTGTCTTATATGAGTTTGAGTTACTATTTCAGACAGCAGTAACGCTTCCAAGGGTGGCTGTCACCGTAAGGCCGATCTGTGGATAACATCGCCATCAGTGGCGGTGCTACCCGCACATTTTTTGGAGGACGAAAAATGCAGGACTTGTTTTCGACGTCTGTAAAGTAGCGAAATTTTATAATGGAGCGCTGGAAACTATGCCAACATGTAGGAAAACATTCCTACTTTCACATGAATGCAAAAGAGCTTCGTTTTTACTACGCATATCAGTTCGGTGAGCAGAAATGCTTAAGGACCCTCCCACCTTCAAAAAAGTTAATGAATTGGCATGAAAGTGATGTCGCTCGGTTCAGAAAGAGCAAAAACGAATATCTACCAAATTTCATCGAAAAATATTCACCGGTTTTCAAGATATTAGACTTTTACTTTTGTTTACTTTTTGGGATCTCCGCTGTTCCTAGCGACTTTATTTGAAAGTGCGGCATTTGTTGCGCGCAAAGCAGCATATACCACCGCGTGCTACAAAACGTTTTAGTCAAACATTTAACGGACGTTCGAAAGCCTGATGACGTCATCAGATTCCCGTAATGGTTAAGAGATAGGGACCACGCTGGTCCCACCCTGCAAGCAAGGCTATCAGTGGCGTACCCAGGAATTTGCGAAGGACCAGGGCATTGGACGAGAGGGCGCCAATCAAGGAGGGCGCCAACAACAAGGAGGGCGCCACATATCTGAAACTTGAATGTGTCAGTTATGTTCGTACACGTGCGGAACGAACATAACTGACATACTGGACAGAGGGGCGCCACCCACCATCATCTAGGAGCGCGACGCTATCGATTGGAGGGGCGCCAATACTGGACAAAGGGGCGCCACCGGCCCACCATATCGTCTAGGAGGGCGCCACTATCACCAGAGGAGCGCCAATACAGGGCCCTGTTCATGAAGTCTGCGGCCGCTGCGGCCGGCCGCAGGCTCTAAGCTCCGCCCATTTTTGAAACGTCATCACTCACTCGGCCGCAGCAGCGTTCCATGAACAGCGTCTGCTGCCGAAATAGTTTCCGACAATTGTTTACAACTGAAGCACACCGGTAGATAATTTGTTTACAAAATCGTCTCCATGACAACACGGCTTGCGCCTATTTGACTTCAGTGCGTCAAGTTCAGTGCAATTAGTTTTCTTGAGGCTCGGCGGTCGCTGGATTGCGGCCGCAGAGATCGCAGCGGCCGCAGCAAGATGACGTCATACATTCGTCATACTACATGAGCCCCGCCCCTTTTTGTGATGTAACAACCCGGCTGGCCGCAGCGACCGCAGCGGCCGCAGCGACCGCCGGGGTTCATGAACAGGGCCCTGGACGCGTATTTGGAAATTCCGACCTCGACGAGCATCTGTGGTAGAAAACCACCACTTTCGTAGGGGAAACTACTGCTGTCTGCTACCATTTGCACTGCATGTGTCGCTATAGTCGCGACATCTATGCAAACAAACCGCTTATAAACTGTTTACTGCGACATCTGTGTGCGCCGATTCTAGTTAGCGATTAGCTAGGGCACCAGGGTGGATCCATCCAGACTTTCGGTTTGGGGGTGGGGGGGGGGGGGGACTCATGTCATGGCCGGCCCGATTCCCGGCAGTCAAAGTTGCTGAGCGGTGGGGGGGGGGGGGGAGGAGGAAGGTCCAATATGATGCCACAAAAGACATGCCTCTTTACAGGGTTGCCAGGGTGAATCAGGCTTTTAGCAGTGTGCCTCCTGAGACGTTCGTGATTTTTATCGATTCATCGAGTTGACGATTTGAGGATACCTTTCTCAAAGTGCCTATCATGCAAAAAAAAAAAATAGAAACCAATGAAACGTTTTCTTTATAATAAGAGATATTAACCTTATTCTCATATTAGCCAAAAGATATAAAATTTCAAAAAGACAAAATACAGTTTCGGGAGCTTCCGGCTTTGCGCCTTTATCAACCGTGCGCAAAGCCGAAAGCTCCCGAAACTGTATTTTGTCTTTTTGAAATTTTATATCTTTTGGCTAATATGAGAGTAAGGTTAATATCTCTTATTATATTCATAATGTCTCTCAAAACTGTGCTAAAAACCATTCAAGAAACGTTTTCTTCCAAAAAAAGACAGATGGGACTCCTCAGAGACCACTGTAGCTGCAGTTTAATAACTCAGAAGTTGAGTCGCGCCTGAAGCCCTATATGCTAGTCAACTGGAAAGACCCAAAGGAGCCCGCCTAGGGCTCCCAGAGAATGGTGTAGGCCCCTCTGGGGTCACTGGCGGGCCAGTGCATACCGATCCTAACATTATTCATATCAATCGCTGAACGTTTCAAGGCGATCGTGCCGTCGGTGTAGCTATAGCCGAACATTTTAAGTTTTTTTCGAGGTGAGGTCAGTTGGACTGACCTGGTGGCCTGACAATTTTAACTTTGTTAACCTCAACTTCCGGAACCGACTGAGCCGGTCCCGTAGCTCAGTCGGTAGAGCCTTGGACTCCGCGAGGTGAGATCTCGCGTCCCGGACCCAAACTCTTAAAGTTAAAAAAACGACGCGGAACGCTGCCGTTACTATGTACTTACATCACGTTACGACCTTCCAGACCAGTTGCACCTTAAGTAGTTATATGTACCTACTACCTATATTATGTTTCCTATGTATGTGCTGTGCATACTCATAGATGTCGCAACTGTAGCGACACATGCAGTGCAAATGGTAGCAGACAGCAGTAGTTTCCCCTACCAAAGAAGTGGTTTCTACTACAGACGCTCGTCGAGGTCGGAAATTCCAAATACGCGCCCTGGACAGAGGGGCTTCGCCATCAACTAGAAGCGCGCCGCTATCGACTGGAGGAGCGCCAACACTGGACAGAGGGGCGCCAGTCACTGAGGGCGCCGGGGACGATGAGCCAAAGGGACAGGGCATGCACGGAATGTCCTGTATGTGCGTACGCCACTGAAGGCTATATCCTGCAAGTAAAGGGAAGAAATTTCTTGAACACCATAAAGCTGCGGGGATTGCGACCAGGATAAATGGTGGTTTCTGAGCCTGGCCGCAAACTTGGCTATCTCAACTCAAAACTAATGTTAAGGTGGGAGGGTCCCTTTAAGGTGGCGGTGCTCCCCCCGCTTCCCCTACGCGAAATGAGGACCTTGACCTTGGGCCAATTTTTCTGGTTTGCTTTGACATTATTTCTCCCCTCCGAGAGCCGGACATAGCAGGCCAGACGGAGGACTGTGAGAATTGACGGTGAGAGCCGCTCGCGCCGGCATCCGTCCGTGCCGCTCGCGCCGACGCGCCGCTGATTCGGGTTTGTTTTGTGGTTATCGCCGGGCTCTTAGCGCATGTTGACGTTGGCGTACCCGGAAAACAAAACCATGGGTGGCCCTCTCCGGAGCCGGCGGCTGCTGGTCGCTGAAGGCAGAGGCGGTTGGCGGTCGGTGGTCGGCGGTCGGTGGTCGGCGGTCGGCGGCGCAGGGTTCGAGACCGACTCCGAGTCCACCCAGCCGGGGTCGGCGCCGGGCTGTGGATCGTGGAGGCGACTCGTCTCGCCATGGACTCGGCGCTGCTGTGCGATGCGCCGCTCATGTTGTCGGCTGCGGCCGCCGGCGCCGGAGTCCTCGTGCTGATCGCTGCCGTCCTCGCACGTGACGCGTGCTCGGCGCCCGTGACTCCGACGGAGCCGACCCCGACCCCGACCGCGCCGACCGCGGTGCCAGTGACGGTTCTCCCGTCGACGGTGCGCCTCCTGTCTAAGGGGGCCCCGGACGTGGTCCGACGCGCGGCGCACTCGAGGGAGACGGAGGTCAGTGTCGCTATTATTCGACAGGATTTTGGTTGAAGACGCTCGACAGAACCAAAAGTCCTAGTCTCTAGCGATAGGTATGTAACCGATCGACATGCAGCTTAGTAGGTTCTAATCATTTAGCTCGCGCCCCAAATTGAACAGAACAGCAGAGCACGTCGAATGGGCACGCATATCGAATGTTCTACCCATAGTTAGATAGTTAGAGTATTCAATTTCTTCAAGTTATTCGAGAGAAGGCCATCGTGATTATTTACGCCCGTTTACGTTTCAAAGAGGGCATGTGTTGCGGCCGACGCTGATCTCCCGTATGGTTTGTATTATGCGTCCTAAGCGGTGGTTCCTTTCCATTTCAGGTCAATGAGCCGGCCTCCATGCTGCGACAGTTTGATGACGACTGCACCGGCATCGCCTTGTTTACCAGTGAGTGAACGGGCGAGTGCAATTGCTGAATGCTGTGTGCTGCCAGCCTGCCGTCCCGGCAGCACGGCCGTTACCTGTCCAATTCAGTGGACGATGGCACTGTCCAACGGCCGTTGGTTCGCCGTCTGGTGACCCTGCGGTTCCCGTCGTTTCTGCAGGCCTGGTGACCAGTGTCGGCCTGCTCTCTGCCACTGTGTTTGTCCTGGCGGCGGTGTCAGCGGCCGTCCAGTGCGGCCCGCCCCCGCCGCAGACCATCACCGACCCCCCGACCCCGCAGCAGCCGACCACCCAGCCGCCCCCGCCCCCGCCCCCGCCGGCAGCGGCCACAATCGTACCAGCGCTGTTGGACATTTTCAGCATCATAGGAGGTGAGTGAGCCCTTCTTCTCCGTTTCTCCTCCTGTGTTGCACGTGTGCACGTATAGGGTCACGTACGTGTCGAGATCGCTTGTCCATCGCCCAAATGATAAACCGCCCTGAGCAATTTAATGCCTACCTGCAATGAAAAGTTAGATTTACTTTAGAAATAAACATCACATATAAGGCAGTTGCGAGGCATCCCGGCGACTACTAAGGCTGATCACCTGCTACTGACTGCCCTACAGTTGACTTGTTACACTCAGGGGCGGATCCAAGGGGGGGGGGGGGGGTCACATGGGTCATGGCCCCCCCCTTGAGGCCCGGGGGCCCAAAGACCTTCCAGGGGCACCACCGGCCTATCAGGGGTATCACAGTCCTGACAGGGGCACCACAGGACCGCCAGGGGCACCACAGGCCTAGCAGGGACACCACGGGCCTGGTGCCCCTGGGCCCTGACAGGACTGTAACGCCCCTGACAAGCCTGAAGTGTCCCCGGCAGGCACGTGGTGCCCCTGACAGGCCTGAGGCGCCCCTGCAAGGCCGGTGGTGCCCCTGGCAGGCCTGTGGTGTCCATGGCAGGCCTGTGGTGCCCTTGCTAGGCCTCTGGTGCCCCTGACAGGCTTGTAATGCCCCTGGAAGGACTGTGGTGCCCCTGGGCCCTGACAAGCCTGAGGTGCCCCTGACAGGCCAGAGGTGCCCTTGCTAGGCCTGTGGTGCCCCTGGCAGGCCTCTGGTGCCCCTGACAGGCTTGCGGTGCCCTTGGAAGGACTGTGGTGTCCCTGGGCCCTGACAAGCCTGAGGTGCCCCTGACAAGCCTGAGGTGCCCCTGACAGGCCCGTGGTGCCCTTGTTAGGCCTGTGGTGCCCCTGGCAGGCCTCTGGTGCCCTTGCTAGGCCGCTGGTGCCCCTGGCAGGCCTCTGGTGCCCTTGCCAGGCCGCTGGTGCCCCTGGCAGGCCTCTGGTGCCCCTGCGCCCGGAGAGGACTGGTGCCCCTGAAAAGTCTGAAGTGCCCCTCGGCAGGCCCGTCGTGCCCCTGACAGGCCCAAGGTGCCCCTGTGAGGCCGGTGGTGCCCCTGGCAGGCCTCTGGTGCCCCTGGCAGGTCTGTGGCGCCCCTGGCAGACCTGTGTTGACTGGTGCCCCTGCTAGGTCGCTGGTGCCCCTCACAGACCTGTGGTGCCCCTGGGCCTTGACAAGCCTGAGATGCCTGGCTATGACAGGCTCGTGGTGCCCCTGATAGACCAGTGGTGCCCTTGCTAGGCCTGTAGTGCCCCTGGCAGGCCTCTGGTGCCCCTGCTACCCCTGCGCCCTGAGAGGACTATGGTGCCCCTGAAAAGCCTGAAGTGCCTCTCGACAGGCCCGTGGTGCCCCTGGGCCCTGACAGGCCCAAGTTACCCCTGCGAGGTAGGTGGTGCTCCTGGCAGGCCTCTGGTGCCCCTGGCAGGTCTGTGGTGCCCCTGGCAGGCCTGTGTTGACTGGTGCCCCTGCTAGGCCGCTGGTGCCCCTCACAGGCCTGCGGTGCCCCTGGAAGGACTGTGGTGCCCCTGCCCCTAGGGGTGCTCATGGGCCCAACAGGCCCGTTGTGCCCCTGACAGGCCTGTCGTGTATACTTGCTAGACCTGTGGTGCCCCTGCTTCCTGGCAGGCCTGTGGTGCCCCTGGCGGGCCTGTGGCGCCCCTACAAGGCCATAGGTGCCCCTGACAGGTTTGTGGTGTCCCTGGAAGAACTTTGGTGCCCCTGACAAGCCTGAAGTGTCAAGGACAGACCCTTTAGACGCCAGGGTCAAGTTCGTCGGACTGACAACGACTTGCTTACCTGATAACGTTCCTGGTAAGTACTCATTACTCAGCGTCCACAACATATATACACAAAGCACATTCATATATACTTGCTTACAATTGGTAAATGTGGTTGTGGCTAAGAGGTAAGATACTGACTAAAAATAAAAAATAAAAATAAAAAACTGAAAATGGGGGCACCACCAAAATCAAGTGGACGAAATCCGTTGAGTTTTTAATTTTGGGTATAGGTAGGGGCACCACTTCGATTCATGACCCTCCCCTTGGAGTTTTCCTGGATCCGCCCCTGGTTACACTCTGTTATTACTTATTGTTATCAATTATCGCACAATGCGATGCTAAATAAATTATGATGATGATGATGATGATGATGATAATTCGCCCATCGTCGTTCCGAAAATATAGGCCATTTTTATGTTGCTAAGGATCACGTTAAAAAGTTCGAACTTAGCCATGGTTTGCAAAGATAAGGCGTCCGCAGCGGTGACCTTTGCGTGTGTCCGCAATGCAGTGACCCTGTCCGTGTGTCCGCAGTGCAGTGACCCTGTCCGTGTGTCCGCAGTGCAGTGACCCTGTCCGTGTGTCCGCACTGCAGTGACCCTGTCCGTGTGTCCGCAGTGCAGTGACCCTGTCCGTGTGTCCGCAGTGCAGTGACCCTGTCCGTGTGTCCGCAGTGCAGTGACCCTGTCCGTGTGTCCGCAGTGCAGTGACCCTGTCCGTGTGTCCGCAGTGCAGTGACCCTGTCCGTGTGTCCGCAGTGCAGTGACCCTGTCCGTGTGTCCGCAGTGCAGTGACCCTGTCCGTGTGTCCGCAGTGCAGTGACCCTGTCCGTGTGTCCGCAGTGCAGTGACCCTGTCCGTGTGTCCGCAGCAGTGACCCTGTTCGTGTGTCCGCAGTGCAGTGAGTCAGTGACCCTGTTCGTGTGTCCGCAGTGCAGTGACCCTGTTCGTGTGTCCGCAGTGCAGTGACCCTGTCCGTGTGTCCGCAGTGCAGTGACCCTGTCCGTGTGTCCGCAGCGGTGACCCTGTCCGTGTGTCCGCAGTGCAATGACCCTGTCCGTGTGTCCGCAGTGCAGTGGCCCTGTCCGTGTGTCCGCAGTGCAGTGACCCTGTCCGTGTGTCCGCAGTGCAGTGACCCTGTCCGTGTGTCCGCAGTGCAGTGACCCTGTCCGTGTGTCCGCAGTGCAGTGACCTTGTCCATGTGTCCGCAGTGCAGTGACCCTGTCCGTGTGTCCGCAGTGCAGTGACCCTGTCCGTGTGTCCGCAGTGCAGTGACCCTGTCCGTGTGTCCGCAGTGCAGTGACCCTGTCCGTGTGTCCGCAGTGCAGTGACCCTGTCCGTGTGTCCGCAGCAGTGACCCTGTTCGTGTGTCCGCAGTGCAGTGAGTCAGTGACCCTGTTCGTGTGTCCGCAGTGCAGTGACCCTGTCCGTGTGTCCGCAGTGCAATGACCCTGTCCGTGTGTCCGCAGTGCAGTGGCCCTGTCCGTGTGTCCGCAGTGCAGTGGCCCTGTCCGTGTGTCCGCAGTGCAGTGACCCTGTCCGTGTGTCCGCAGTGCAGTGACCCTGTCCGTGTGTCCGCAGTGCAATGACCCTGTCCGTGTGTCCGCAGTGCAGTGACCCTGTCCGTGTGTCCGCAGTGCAGTGACCCTGTCCGTGTGTCCGCAGTGCAGTGACCCTGTCCGTGTGTCCGCAGTGCAGTGACCTTGTCCGTGTGTCCGCAGTGCAGTGACCCTGTCCGTGTGTCCGCAGTGCAGTGACCCTGTCCGTGTGTCCGCAGTGCAGTGACCTTGTCCGTGTGTCCGCAGTGCAGTGACCCTGTCCGTGTGTCAGCAGCGGTGACCCTGTCCGTGTGTCCGCAGTGCAGTGACCCTGTTCGTGCGTCCGCAGTGCAGTGACCCTGTCCGTGTGTCCGCAGTGCAATGACCCTGTCCGTGTGTCCGCAGCGGTGACCCTGTCCGTGTGTCCGCAGTGCAGTGACCCTGTCCGTGTGTCCGCAGCGGTGACCCTGTCCGTGTGTCCGCAGCGGTGACCCTGTCCATGTGTCCGCAGTGCAGTGACCCTGTCCGTGTGTCCGCAGTGCAGTGACCCTGTCCGTGTGTCCGCAGTGCAGTGACCTTGTCCGTGTGTCCGCAGTGCAGTGACCCTGTCCGTGTGTCCGCAGCGGTGACCCTGTCCGTGTGTCCGCAGTGCAGTGACCCTGTCCGTGTGTCCGCAGTGCAGTGACCTTGTCCGTGTGTCCGCAGTGCAGTGACCCTGTCCGTGTGTCCGCAGTGCAGTGACCCTGTCTGTGTGTCCGCAGCGGTGACCCTGTCCGTGTGTCCGCAGCGGTGACCCTGCCGGCCAACCCGTGTCCCGTGCCGGACTCGGCGCCGGCGCCGGGCGGCGGACCGTGCCGGCCCGTGCTGACCGGCGCCGGCTGCCCGGCCGGCTTCTGGACGCTCGTGCAGCCCACCACGTTTACGGTGAGAGCCCCGGCCCGCCCCACGGCTCTGGTTGCGTACACTGAGAACAGTGTACAATATCCTCGTTCAATATCCTCGATATGTCGATGACGCTATGCACGGCTCATATGGTATGCAAAGTGTGTATGCATAGTGTATGCCGCCACAATAGTAATACACTCTGTTCCATATCAAGCTTGCGGCTGAGGCGCCCTGATGAAAGCAATGCGTGATTTCTGTACCTACAAACAGTTCTAGCATTCAAATGCGCAAATTACTGAACGGAGGAGTGAACTGCCGGAGGAATTCCGACCGGCAAGCTTGATATGGAACAGACTATATGCATCCTATGTATCACTGAGCTGTATGACGTGCTATGTAACCGTTTCAGAGTTACTGAGCGCTGTGTTGTGTCGCTGTTTCAGAGTTGCTTATGTGGTGTGGCGTGTAACCGTTTTAGAGTCACCCTTTCAGAAATGCTCAGCGGTGTGTTATGTCACCGTTTCAAGAGTTTCTGAGCGGTGTGGTTTGTCACCGTCTCAGAGTTACTGAGCGATGTGGTGCGTCGCGTGTCTCAGAGTTAGTACTGAGCGTTGTGGTGTGTTACCGTTTCAGAGTTACTGAGCGATGTGTATGTGTCGCTGTCTCAGAGTTACTGAGCGGAGTGTATGTGTCGCCGTTTCAGAGTACCTGCGCGCCGAGACTGTGCGACCCGGGCCGGATCTTCCTGCCTTCGGACCGGCTGTGTCACGACGTCAGAGAGCCAGGAATATGTCCCGGTACGTCAGCCTCCACCCCGCAGTCGACTCGCGAGCCGTTCGAAATTGTCTGCGCTTGCAAGAAATTGCCCGTGTAATGCGCATTGTATGTACAATTTACTATGCTCTTTCACGAGCGTTTGTAATTAGCTATTACATGCTACCTTCCTTACCTACTTACCCACTTTTAACGATTGGATGTACAAATGAAACGAGCGACCCTCGTGTGGGAATTAATTCGGCTGGCTCGCCTTCACTTTCTCTACGTGTTTACTGCTGTGTGGTTACAAGGCGTAACAGTGCATCTGACGTCATTCATGGAACCAGTTCCGTTTGAATGGCCGGTAATGTGCGGCTTCAGCAGTTCGTTCTCCGCTTGCGATGAACAATGGCAGTGATCCGCTTGTGATGCGCATCCCCCATCAACTTATCGCTAGTGATTTGCATATCATTTAATTGTTGATGTGGCTGAAGTGATCGGTGCGGTTTTGATAGTCCGTGTCACGTGCCGCCCTGACCACCGGCCGGCGGCCGTGCTGAGAGCAATTATATGTCAGTCTGCCAATTGAACGGTGTGCCATTATGCAGAGTGAGTGCCCTCTCAGGTCATCGTCCTTCGCCGTGTATGCAAATTATAGAAGACACGATTGAAGACGCTCTCGGGTGTATACTGAGGGCTGACATTGGCTGCCTATGCTGATGTCTGTGTCCGACATTGCAGACAACCTGTGGCCGTACAGCTGTCTGACGGACTGACTGCTGTGTCTGCAGACAATCTGTGGCCGTACTGACGGACTGACTGCTGTGTCTGCAGACAACATGTGGCCGTACTGCCGTCTGACGGACTGACTGCTGTGTCTGCAGACAACCTGTGGCCGTACATGAGCGGGTTCGGCACTGTCATCTGCGACTGCGACGAGGGACAGTACAGGGACGTTAGCGGCAACTGCGCGGACCTCTTCAGTCGCGACTCCTGCCCGACCGGACAGGTGTGAGACAGACAGACAGACAGACAGACGGACGGACGGACGGACGGACGGACGGACGGAAACTAAGCGAGGAAATGTGGTAGAAAGTCGGGTAAGACGACCACTGTCAAGTTTAGAACCAGTTTGTGGTCGTTTAGAAATAACACCGAGACGTGAAACTGAGTGAAAACGTCTGTGCCAGCCGCCGGTGTGTGATGCAGTCGGTAAAGTGTGTTGCCGAGCCTGTGTGACGTGCGCGTTGTGTTGCAGAGCCTGCAGCCGCCCGGGGCCGACTCGGAGGTTCTCCAGTGCTCGGACGATCCCTGCTCCCCGCTGGCCGCACCCGTCGACGACGCGCCAGCCTTCGTCGACGTCGGCGGCCAGTGCTTCGAGTTTGGCACGGTGAGACCGTCACCCCTGCCTCCTCAGTTCCACATCCCGACCAGGCGCTCCTCGGCTCCATACCCCGGCCTGCACGCCCGCGGAGACGTTCACTGCCCGGTGGATTGTGGAGGGTGTCGGTCCTGTGTCTGCGCTGACCCCCCCCCCCCCCCGCCCCCGCCCTGCGCAGCGGGGCCCCTGCGCGGCCGGCCAGCTGCTCGGGTACGACGTCCAGCTGCGGGAGCCCGTCTGCGCGGCCGTGGAGGAGCCGTTCTTCGCCCGGCAGTCGGCTGAGGGCGGCGCCCTGACGGCCCGCCGCCGCCGCCGCGCGGCGCCGTCCGTGTGGACGCCGGTGTGGCCGCCGTCCGCGGTCCGGCCGCGCCGCCAGAGCCCGCTGCGGATCGGCGTGGTGCGCTCACCGCTGCTGGTGCGCTGCGGCTCGGCGGCGCGGGTCAGCGCCCTGTTCACCTGCCGCGCCGTGTGAGTCAGCCGTCATACACACACTAATAGAGTTTAGTGCCCGCTGCGGCTCGGCGGCGCGGGTCAGCGCCCTGTTCGCCTGCCGCGCCGTGTGAGTCAGCCGTCATACACACACTAATAGAGTTTAGTGCCCGCTGCGGCTCGGCGGCGCGGGTCAGCGCCCTGTTCGCCTGCCGCGCCGTGTGAGTCAGCCGTCATACACACACTAATAGAGTTTAGTGCCCGCTGCGGCTCGGCGGCGCGGGTCAGCGCCCTGTTCACCTGCCGAGCCGTGTGAGTCAGCCGTCATACACACACTAATATAGTTTAGTGCCCGCTGCGGCTCGGCGGCGCGGGTCAGCGCCCTGTTCACCTGCCGCGCCGTGTGAGTCAGCGCCCTGTTCACCTGCCGCGCCGTGTGAGTCAGCGCCCTGTTCACCTGCCGCGCCGTGTGAGTCAGCCGTCATACACACACTAATAGAGTTTAGTGCCCGCTGCGGCTCGGCGGCGCGGGTCAGCGCCCTGTTCACCTGCCGCGCCGTGTGAGTCAGCCGTCATACACACACTAATAGAGTTTAGTGCCCGCTGCGGCTCGGCGGCGCGGGTCAGCGCCCTGTTCACCTGCCGCGCCGTGTGAGTCAGCCGTCATACACACACTAATATAGTTTAGTGCCCGCTGCGGCTCGGCGGCGCGGGTCGGCGCCCTGTTCACCTGCCGCGCCGTGTGAGTCAGCCGTCATACACACACTAATATAGTCTTGTGCCCGCTGCGGCTCGGCGGCGCGGGTCAGCGCCCTGTTCACCTGCCGTGCCGTGTGAGTCAGCCGTCATACACACACTAATATAGTTTAGTGCCCGCTGCGGCTCGGCGGCGCGGGTCAGCGCCCTGTTCACCTGCCGCGCCGTGTGAGTCGGCCGTCATACACACACTAATAGAGTTTAGTGCCCGCTGCGGCTCGGCGGCGCGGGTCAGCGCCCTGTTCACCTGCCGCGCCGTGTGAGTCAGCCGTCATACACACACTAATATAGTTTAGTGCCCGCTGCGGCTCGGCGGCGCGGGTCAGCGCCCTGTTCACCTGCCGCGCCGTGTGAGTCAGCCGTCATACACACACTAATAGAGTTTAGTGCCCGCTGCGGCTCGGCGGCGCGGGTCAGCGCCCTGTTCACCTGCCGCGCCGTGTGAGTCAGCCGTCATACACACACTAATAGAGTTTAGTGCCCGCTGCGGCTCGGCGGCGCGGGTCAGCGCCCTGTTCACCTGCCGCGCCGTGTGAGTCAGCCGTCATACACACACTAATAGAGTTTAGTGCCCGCTGCGGCTCGGCGGCGCGGGTCAGCGCCCTGTTCACCTGCCGAGCCGTGTGAGTCAGCCGTCATACACACACTAATAGAGTTTAGTGCCCGCTGCGGCTCGGCGGCGCGGGTCAGCGCCCTGTTCACCTGCCGAGCCGTGTGAGTCAGCCGTCATACACACACTAATAGAGTTTAGTGCCCGCTGCGGCTCGGCGGCGCGGGTCAGCGCCCTGTTCGCCTGCCGAGCCGTGTGAGTCAGCCGTCATACACACACTAATAGAGTTTAGTGCCCGCTGCGGCTCGGCGGCGCGGGTCAGCGCCCTGTTCACCTGCCGAGCCGTGTGAGTCAGCCGTCATACACACACTAATAGAGTTTAGTGCCCGCTGCGGCTCGGCGGCGCGGGTCAGCGCCCTGTTCACCTGCCGAGCCGTGTGAGTCAGCCGTCATACACACACTAATATAGTTTAGTGCCCGCTGCGGCTCGGCGGCGCGGGTCAGCGCCCTGTTCACCTGCCGCGCCGTGTGAGTCAGCCGTCATACACACACTAATAGAGTTTAGTGCCCGCTGCGGCTCGGCGGCGCGGGTCAGCGCCCTGTTCACCTGCCGCGCCGTGTGAGTCAGCCGTCATACACACACTAATAGAGTTTAGTGCCCGCTGCGGCTCGGCGGCGCGGGTCAGCGCCCTGTTCACCTGCCGAGCCGTGTGAGTCAGCCGTCATACACACACTAATAGAGTTTAGTGCCCGCTGCGGCTCGGCGGCGCGGGTCAGCGCCCTGTTCACCTGCCGAGCCGTGTGAGTCAGCCGTCATACACACACTAATAGAGTTTAGTGCCCGCTGCGGCTCGGCGGCGCGGGTCAGCGCCCTGTTCACCTGCCGCGCCGTGTGAGTCAGCCGTCATACACACACTAATAGAGTTTAGTGCCCGCTGCGGCTCGGCGGCGCGGGTCAGCGCCCTGTTCACCTGCCGAGCCGTGTGAGTCAGCCGTCATACACACACTAATAGAGTTTAGTGCCCGCTGCGGCTCGGCGGCGCGGGTCAGCGCCCTGTTCACCTGCCGAGCCGTGTGAGTCAGCCGTCATACACACACTAATAGAGTTTAGTGCCCGCTGCGGCTCGGCGGCGCGGGTCAGCGCCCTGTTCACCTGCCGCGCCGTGTGAGTCAGCCGTCATACACACACTAATAGAGTTTAGTGCCCGCTGCGGCTCGGCGGCGCGGGTCAGCGCCCTGTTCACCTGCCGAGCCGTGTGAGTCAGCCGTCATACACACACTAATAGAGTTTAGTGCCCGCTGCGGCTCGGCGGCGCGGGTCAGCGCCCTGTTCACCTGCCGAGCCGTGTGAGTCAGCCGTCATACACACACTAATATAGTTTAGTGCCCGCTGCGGCTCGGCGGCGCGGGTCAGCGCCCTGTTCACCTGCCGCGCCGTGTGAGTCAGCCGTCATACACACACTAATAGAGTTTAGTGCCCGCTGCGGCTCGGCGGCGCGGGTCGGCGCCCTGTTCACCTGCCGAGCCGTGTGAGTCAGCCGTCATACACACACTAATAGAGTTTAGTGCCCGCTGCGGCTCGGCGGCGCGGGTCAGCGCCCTGTTCACCTGCCGAGCCGTGTGAGTCAGCCGTCATACACACACTAATAGAGTTTAGTGCCCGCTGCGGCTCGGCGGCGCGGGTCAGCGCCCTGTTCACCTGCCGCGCCGTGTGAGTCAGCCGTCATACACACACTAATAGAGTTTAGTGCCCGCTGCGGCTCGGCGGCGCGGGTCGGCGCCCTGTTCACCTGCCGCGCCGTGTGAGTCAGCGCCCTGTTCACCTGCCGCGCCGTGTGAGTCAGCCGTCACACCTACACTAATATAGTTTAGTGCCCGCTGCGGCTCGGCGGCGCGGGTCAGCGCCCTGTTCACCTGCCGCGCCGTGTGAGTCAGCCGTCATACACACACTAATATAGTTTAGTGCCCGCTGCGGCTCGGCGGCGCGGGTCAGCGCCCTGTTCACCTGCCGCGCCGTGTGAGTCAGCCGTCATACACACACTAATATAGTTTTGTGCCCAGATAGATGCCTAACGTCCAAGGGACAGATCACTGACAACATTTTAAGACTAAATAATATTTCAGCTCGATCTGCTGCGCTTTTACGCACGATAGGTAATTGAATCTAATCTGTATTAATGCTTTACGATGACCAAATATGTCTATTTTCAGCATATTTCCGGGCCGCAACAGAAGAAGGCGGTCCTTTTTGCCCCCTGTTCCACCCAACTTCGCATGTCCACAGGTCAGTTGAAAGCAATAATGGTCTGTATAATAATATACAAAGTGCAGACAGATGCCATATACGCGTAGTCCGTATATGCGTCTTGCATTACCTGAGTGCATTGCATTGCACTTGTGTCTTTTGTATTACCTGAGTTTATGTCTCTTTAATTCTCTTTTCTCGTTTGCTAATACTTATGTGCCGACATAGGTAGCCGGTAGGTATATGTAGATATTTGAGCGATAGCGGTATTGGGAGGATAGGATAAGTCATAACAAAGTTTGAATAAGTCATAGTCATAACAAAGTTTGAAATTAAATATCGCCACACAAAGCAAGTATGAATGGCGGCCAAAAGCGGGGATTGTCTGTTAGGGGTCAGTCTGAACAATAGCAACTTTGACCTCAAGCACATTATGCACTTAAGCCATATAAGGCGATAGGCAATCCGCATCTGAGTCATATGACACTGTCGCCTCTCGATCTGTATGTAACAGTCACTGTTACATGACACTGTCGGTCTATATGTGACAGTTGGTGTGATATGACACTGTCGGTCTACATATATGTAACTGTTAGTGTTGTCCGTCCCTTGCCGGTCTGTATGCGACAGTCACTGTCATATGACATGGCCCGTTGCCGGTCTGTGTGGGACAGTCGTCATAAGACACCGTATGCTGCCGGTATGTGTGTAAATTTCGCTGTCATATGACGATGTCGGTCTATATCTGACAGTCGCTGTTATATAGCATCGTCGGTCTTTATGTGACAGTTGGTGTTGCCGTCCGTTGCCGGTCTGTATTTGAAGTCACTGTCATATGACACCGCCGGTCTGTCTGATACAGTTTATGTCATATGACACTGTCTGCTGTCGGTATGTGTCAAACAGTCACTGTCATATGGCAATGGCGTCTATATGTGACAGTCGCTGTCATATGACACTGTCCTGTGTGTGACAGTCGCTGTCATATGCCACTGCCGGCAGGCGGAGGCGACGCTGTCCGGTGACGGCCGGTGCCTGACGCTCCCGGAGGCCGCGGCGGCCGCCTGTCTGCCCGGCACAGAGCTGAGCCCCGCCGGCCGGTGTCGGCCGGCGGCCGCCGCCGCGCTCGGACGCCGCAGACGGGCCACAGGTGGACACCGTGAGACGGGCGGGAGATAAACAGACGACTGATAGGCAGACACACGATAGACAGACAGACGACAGACAGATGGACGGCGTGGACGGCGGTAGACAACTCAGACGATATAGACGACACCCGGCGCAGCATAGCTATCACGTACTTATGACCTTGTGGACCTTTTTCGTATTTGTTCAAAGGCTTTATTATTAGTGATTAGCTAAGGCGTGCGATGCTCACCGTTAAGTATTTTATGTGGGTATAATTACGAGTAGGTAAGTGCACCCATCAGGTAAGCTAAACGTAGACGGTGGCATGCGCATTGTCACCGCCCATTGCTCATGCCCTCAAAGGACAGATATATTTGGACAAACATGTTACCAACTCGTTTGGGAGCCAGTCTTTTGTGGTCAGTTTATCATCGTTACATTTTATTAACTGTTAGATCTACGTTTGATATCATTAGCATGTCAAGCGTCCTGCTGTTGTATCGTTAATCTATTGTTAGTTCCAGGACAGTGCCATCGTTCGTAGCAGTAACGTAACCAATGCTCTCCATCATTGATTGCAGCGCACTGAGATGCAGTGCATGCTTTGTTATGATAAGATGCCCGAGTATTTGATCGACGATTCACATTATGCAGCCCAGGCGCTAGTGTAATAAAATGTAGTGCAGTGTAATAGTGTAATAAAATGAGTCGTGCCTTTTCTGTCGATCATGAAATACATAGTTCAAGACAAACGTTGGCTGGGGGGGGGGGGGCAGCTACGTATATCGAGGCTAATTCGTACTTAGCGTTGACATCTTCACCATAAATCTTTGATGATAACATACATGACCCAGTGATATATCGTCTACTATAGCCGCATGGTCTGCAAAGTTGATGAACACTAACAGCAAACCGCCCGGTCATTTTTGGTACTCGTCCCTCAAGTCAGAGTCACTTCATCCATTATAGTTGGGACCATATTTTACTGTCCAGCCCCATCATAAGCCCAGTGGCCGCCGCGAGTGTGGCATTAGATGCGGTATCCCGTGCCCACGAAGTCGCTCTGCGCCGGGACCGCCGCGGCGTTCCAGCGAGGCTCCTGCCGAGTCGCGTCCGGACGGGCGCGGGGATCTGCCGACGCCGTGCGCCATCGACGGACGCGCGGGACCTCGACGGCACTCCGGCCGAGACAGGTCTGTCTCCCTCCTACAGCCGGAGAGGGGCGGTCTTTGAGCTCGGACTGGTCGCGCTCCGCATTTCGCTGGTAGCGCTATAGTGAGGCTGCGCTGTCATGTCTGTGTCCGGGCGCCGGCTGCTGCCGCTGCTGCCGCTGCTGCCGCCGCTGCTGCTGCTCGGCGGACCCGCCGGCGGTCTGGTCAGCTGGGCGCGGCTGGGGCGGGCGCCGCTCTCCGGCCTGGAGCGGCTCGGCGGCGCGGCGCCGCTGCCCAGCCGGGTCGTTTGCGCGGCGCTCTGCCTCCGGCGGCCGGACTGCGCGGCGCTCAGGATGCGGCCGCCGCCGCCGGCCGGCCCCGGCTGCCAGCTCTACCGGGAGGTCACGCTGGCGGTCGCTGACCTGCCGCCGAACGGGATGGTTATTCAGCACGAGATCCGACAGCTCACGGAGACGGTCACCACAGAGATAGCAGCTGCCGAGGCAGAGCCAACACCCACCGCCACACCAGCAGCAACGGATCTGGCAGCCAGTGTTACAAACACAGCAACGGAACTGGCAGCCAGTGCTACAAACACAGGAACGGAACTGGCAGCCAGTGCTACAAACACAGTAACGGATCTGGCAGCCAGTGCTACAAACACAGTAACGGAACTGGCGGACAGCGTCACAAACACAGCAGCCGATCTGGCGGACAGCGTCACAAACACAGCAGCAGACTCCTCCGGATCGGTGAGGCCCGCCAGCAACCCGACGAGTACGGCGGACACAGCAGGCTCCACAGCCACCCCGAGTACGGCGGACACAGCAGGCTCCACAGCCACCCCGAGTATGGCGAGTACGGCGGACACAGCAGGCTCCACAGCCACCCCGAGTACGGCGGATACAGCAGCGTCCACAGCCACCCCGAGTACGGCGGACACAGCAGGCTCCACAGCCACCCCGAGTACGGCGAGTACGGCGAACACAGCAGGCTCCACAGCCACCCCGAGTACGGCGGACACAGCAGGCTCCACAGCCACCCCGAGTATGGCGAGTACGGCGGACACAGCAGGCTCCACAGCCACCCCGAGTACGGCGGATACAGCAGCGTCCACAGCCACCCCGAGTACGGCGGACACAGCAGGCTCCACAGCCACCCCGAGTACGGCGAGTACGGCGAACACAGCAGGCTCCACAGCCACCCCGAGTACGGCGAGTACGGCGGACACAACAGGCTCCACAGCCACTCCGAGTACGGCGGACACAGCAGGCTCCACAGCCACCCCGAGTACGGCGGACACAGCAGGCTCCACAGCCACCCCGAGTACGGCGGACACAGCAGGCTCCACAGCCACCCCGAGTACGGCGGACACAGCAGGCTCCACAGCCACCCCGAGTACGGCGAGTACGGCGGACACAGCAGGCTCCACAGCCACCCCGAGTACGGCGAGTACGGCGGACACAGCAGGCTCCACAGCCACCCCGAGTGCGGCGGATACAGCAGCGTCCACAGCCACCCCGAGTACGGCGGACACAGCAGGCTCCACAGCCACCTCGAGTACGGCGAGTACGGCGGACACAGCAGGCTCCACAGCCACCCCGAGTACGGCGGACACAGCAGGCTCCACAGCCACCCCGAGTACGGCGGACACAGCAGACTCCACAGCCACCCCGAGTACGGCGGACACAGCAGTCTCCACAGCCACCCCGAGAACGGCGAGTACGGCGGACACAGCAGGCTCCACAGCCACCCCGAGTACGGCGGACACAGCAGGCTCCACAGCCACCCCGAGTACGGCGGACACAGCAGGCTCCACAGCCACCCCGAGTACGGCGGACACAGCAGGCTCCACAGCCACCCCGAGTACGGCGAGTACGGCGGACACAGCAGGCTCCACAGCCACCCCGAGTACGGCGAGTACGGCGAACACAGCAGGCTCCACAGCCACCCCGAGTACAGCGAGTACGGCGGACACAGCAGGCTCCACAGCCACCCCGAGTACGGCGGATACAGCAGCGTCTACAGCCACCCCGAGTACGGCGGACACAGCAGGCTCCACAGCCACCCCGAGTACGGCGGACACAGCAGACTCCACAGCCACCCCGAGTACGGCGGACACAGCAGGCTCCACAGCCACCCCGAGTACGGCGAACACAGCAGGCTCCACAGCCACCCCGAGTACGGCGAGTACGGCGGACACAGCAGGCTCCACAGCCACCCCGAGTACGGCGGACACAGCAGGCTCCACAGCCACCCCGAGTACGGCGAGTACGGCGGACACAGCAGGCTCCACAGCCACCCCGAGTACGGCGGACACAGCAGGCTCCACAGCCACCCCGAGTACGGCGGACACAGCAGCCTCCACAGCCACCCCGAGTACGGCGAACACAGCAGGCTCCACAGCCACCCCGAGTATGGCGAGTACGGCGGACACAGCAGGCTCCACAGCCACCCCGAGTACGGCGGACACAGCAGGCTCCACAGCCACCCCGAGTACGGCGGACACAGCAGGCTCCACAGCCACCCCGAGTACGGCGAGTACGGCGGACACAGCAGCGTCCACAGCCACCCCGAGTACGGCGAGTACGGCGGACACAGCAGGCTCCACAGCCACCCCGAGTACGGCGGACACAGCAGGCTCCACAGCCACCCCGAGTAAGGCGAGTACGGCGGACACAGCAGGCTCCACAGCCACCCCGAGTACGGCGGACACAGCAGGCTCCACAGCCACCCCGAGTATGGCGAGTACGGCGGACACAGCAGACTCCACAGCCACCCCGAGTACGGCGGACACAGCAGGCTCCACAGCCACCCCGAGTACGGCGAGTACGGCGGACACAGCAGGCTCCACAGCCACCCCGAGTACGGCGGACACAGCAGACTCCACAGCCACCCCGAGTACGGCGAACACAGCAGGCTCCACAGCCACCCCGAGTACGGCGGACACAGCAGGCTCCACAGCCACCCCGAGTACGGCGAGTACGGCGGACACAGCAGGCTCCACAGCCACCCCGAGTACGGCGGATACAGCAGCGTCCACAGCCACCCCGAGTACGGCGGACACAGCAGGCTCCACAGCCACCCCGAGTACGGCAAGTACGGCGGACACAGCAGGCTCCACAGCCACCCCGAGTACGGCGAGTACGGCGGACACAGCAGGCTCCACAGCCACCCCGAGTACGGCGGACACAGCAGGCTCCACAGCCACCCCGAGTAAGGCGAGTACGGCGGACACAGCAGGCTCCACAGCCACCCCGAGTACGGCGGACACAGCAGGCTCCACAGCCACCCCGAGTACGGCGAGTACGGCGGACACAGCAGACTCCACAGCCACCCCGAGTACGGCGGACACAGCAGGCTCCACAGCCACCCCGAGTACGGCGAGTACGGGGGACACAGCAGGCTCCACAGCCACCCCGAGTACGGCGGACACAGCAGACTCCACAGCCACCCCGAGTACGGCGAACACAGCAGGCTCCACAGCCACCCCGAGTACGGCGGACACAGCAGGCTCCACAGCCACCCCGAGTACGGCGAGTACGGCGGACACAGCAGGCTCCACAGCCACCCCGAGTACGGCGGATACAGCAGCGTCCACAGCCACCCCGAGTACGGCGGACACAGCAAGCTCCACAGCCACCCCGAGTACGGCGAGTACGGCGGACACAGCAGGCTCCACAGCCACCCCGAGTACGGCGAGTACGGCGGACACAGCAGGCTCCACAGCCACCCCGAGTACGGCGGATACAGCAGCGTCCACAGCCACCCCGAGTACGGCGGACACAGCAGGCTCCACAGCCACCCCGAGTACGGCGAGTACGGCGGACACAGCAGACTCCACAGCCACCCCGAGTACGGCGGACACAGCAGGCTCCACAGCCACCCCGAGTACGGCGAGTACGGCGGACACAGCAGACTCCACAGCCACCCCGAGTACGGCGAGTACGGCGGACACAGCAGGCTCCACAGCCACCCCGAGTACGGCGGACACAGCAGGCTCCACAGCCACCCCGAGTAAGGCGAGTACGGCGGACACAGCAGACTCCACAGCCACCCCGAGTACGGCGGACACAGCAGGCTCCACAGCCACCCCGAGTACGGCGGACACAGCAGGCTCCACAGCCACCCCGAGTACGGCGAGTACGGCGGACACAGCAGACTCCACAGCCACCCCGAGTACGGCGGACACAGCAGGCTCCACAGCCACCCCGAGTACGGCGAGTACGGCGGACACAGCAGGCTCCACAGCGCCTCAGACTTCACCCACCCAACACATCAGTTTTCACTGACGCCGGCCCCTGCCAAAGGGATCCCCTGACCGCCTGGCCCCTCACGGGCCTCTCTAGAGGCGTCAGACCGCCCCTCTCCAACCAAAGACCGTGGCGGATCCGTCGAATCGATGCACTGCAAGCTTTTTCAGCGGTCTTTCAAACATCATGTGCGCATATGTCGCTGAATTTGTATTAGATTCAGGTAAAAATATGACACGCACACCCGAGCAACAAATGCAACAAGATGGCGGGCCGCTATGGCGGCGGAGGCCGGCAGTATTGCACCGCGATGAAGCGCGCCGTGCGCAATGGATGAACACTGTGGGCGCGCGCGCCGGGGCGCCGCCGCGCCGGCCGACCGGGCGCCACTTTGTACAACTCGCCGGCCGCTGGAGCGGCGCGCACCGCACCCTGGCGAGATCCGGCCGGCGCCGCGCGCGCCACGCACAAATAAGCACAACTAACGACAGTGAAGTCTTGTAAAACCGGCCGGACGCGCCGCGCGCCCGCACCCGTACGGGCAGCGCGGCCAGCGAACAGCGCCGCTGCCAGAGGCCGCGCCGTCCTTCAGTAAAGCACCACGTTTAAAAGCACCCGCAAAGCTCTTCTCGCCTCCAATGCCCCGTTCCGACCATGTCTGCGCTCTGTCCGGCAGAGCCGGGCCCGCCAAGCCGTATACACACAGCCATCATAACAGTGCAGAATCGCCGCCCGGTGGCCCGACTTCCATACAGCGCCATGCCAGATAAATTTCGGAAATGAGCCGGCTTTTGGTGAGCGGGACAGCGGCGGCCGCACACGGCACCGCCGAGCCGCGACAGATTGTTCCATCCGCAGGAGGCCGCCAGCAGCAAACTGGAAAATCGACACAACGACAAACCCACTCCAATCAAAGGTACATCCTACCAAGGACCGGGACAACGCAGAGGCCTAATGGCACCGAGGAAAGCATGCTTCGGCTCCGAACGATCAGACTCTGTCGAATCTTACAGCACAGCTGTAATAACACACTAACAATACGAACACCATCTGTGAAAAGACGAAATTTGAGTTGTCCAGAGCGACGCATCTAAAACCATCTAAATTAATAGCGATACTTGTAACACATTTAGGGGAAATGACATTTTACGTACACATTCCCGATGGCATGAACCACGTTCCTGCTCGATACCTATGCTAAGAATTCGAATGAAAGCTATCCGACAACTACTCAGCGGGGAAACTTCATGTATATAAATACGTGATGGGAACACCATCTACGCCAGCACGCGAAATGACACCAACCTTTGGAACCATCTAGCGAAAACCATCGAGGTGCGGTGAGGCCGGACGCCGGACTGTGCGAGCTGAAACGTGCAGCCGCCGCCCGGTGCTAGTGACAACCCAGACACGCGTCACGCACACACGCACACACGCCGCGAAATGACCGCGCCTAGGCTACACGCCGCGCGCGCCCGATATGTCGAATAATGTCGGCGCCGCCGGAGAGGCGCCCGCGCCGGCCGCCGGCGCCGCTACGGGCCGCCCAGCGACTCCATCCGGAAGTAGTCGTCAGAGCTGGCGTCAATAACGTGCCCGTCCGGGTTGGTGAGCATCTGCAGGCCCTCCAGGTCCAGCTCGCCGAGATCCTCTGCCGAGCAGATATCGCCAACGGTCAGTGGACAGACGGAGGACGGTCAGAGGACGGACACAGAGGACAGATAGAGACGGTCAGAGGACGGACAGACTGTCCGAGGACGGACACGGACAGCCAAAGGACGGACAGAGGACAGATACAAACGGACAGAGGTAGAACACAGACGGTAAGAGAGCGGATAGAGACGGTCAGAGGACGGATAGAGACGGTCAGAGGACGGATAGAGACGGTCAGATGACGGAAACAGACGGTCAGAGGACGGATAGAGACGGTCAGAGGACGGATAGAGACGGTCAGCGGACGGTCAGAGGACGGACACAGAGGACAGATACAAACGGACAGAGGTAAAACACAGACGGTAAGAGAGCGGATAGAGACGGTCAGAGGACGGAAACAGACGGTCAGAGGACGGATAGAGACGGTCAGAGGACGGATAGAGACGGTCAGAGGACGGACAGACGGTCAGAGGACGGACACAGACGGTAAGAGAGCGGACAGAGACGGCTAGAGGACGGACAGACGGTCAGAGGACGGACACAGACGGTAAGAGAGCGGACAGAGACGGCTAGAGGACGGACAGACGGTAAGAGAGCGGATAGAGACGGTCAGAGGACGGAAACAGACGGTCAGAGGACGGATAGAGACGGTCAGAGGACGGAAACAGACGGTCAGAGGACGGATAGAGACGGTCAGAGGACGGATAGAGACGGTCAGAGGACGGACAGACGGTCAGAGGACGGACACAGACGGTAAGAGAGCGGACAGAGACGGCTAGAGGACGGACAGACGGTCAGAGGACGGACACAGACGGTAAGAGAGCGGACAGAGACGGCTAGAGGACGGACAGACGGTAAGAGAGCGGATAGAGACGGTCAGAGGACGGAAACAGACGGTCAGAGGACGGACACGGACTGCCAGACGCTGGAGCAGCCCAAAGTCACCGTTCCCTCTGAGCCCCGCCACCTACACCCACCCAGCCGCCGGCACGGACCGGGTAGTCCGTCCCTGACACAGCCCGCCGCCGGGCGCCACCGGTCGCCTCACCTGCGTCGAAGTTGTCGCCGGAGCCCTGCAGGATGTCGTTGGCGTCGCGCATGTCGCGCAGCAGTTCCTGCTGCTGCAGCGCGCTGGCCGACGAAAAGTCTGCCCAAAGGAGCGCAGAGAGCGTCAGAGCGAGAACCAACGCTGATCGGCGCGAACATAATTTACACAGCACCTTGAGCACGGCTCCGAGGAACGGACCTCTTCTTACCTTCTAATATGCCAGAGATAGACACATCTGGCGATGACCGAGCCAGCGCAACAGTGAGTCATGCACGTGCAAAGTGAGACCTCTGACTGATTTTTGCTATTCGTCCATTGCCCCCCCCCCCCGTGACCTAGTGGATAAGGCGTCCCTCTCCTAACTCGGTGGCAGCGAGTTCGCGGCCGAGGTGCTCCACGTCGTTCGACCTGCGTTTACTATATTGAGCCAGCTGGCAACTGGCGAGAGAGGACCACGCTAGACTCGGGAGGACTGTGTCGCCACCTACCTGCGGCACGTAAGACTTTCGACCCAAATTATCACCGGTGAACCGGGCGTGCCGTGGTGTCATTCGCAACAAGCACTGCTTAGCGGGGCATCCGGGCCCATAGCGATCCATTCATCCATTCGGACAAAATTTATAAGAAAAAAATCTAGCTGGTTCCTAGCAGCGTCCCTATTTTAGCGCCATTTTCTTTTTACCGACCGATGTCGATACAAAGAAATGTGAGCTCCTGTGATTGTTGTACGTTTCGACTGTGTGGTTTGTGTACGTTTCGACTCACCGGACAGTGTGATCTCCGGTATGCTGCTGGTGGGGGTGAGCGGAGTGCTCTGCTGTGACATGTCTCCCGAGGCCAGCATCGGCTGCCCGGACGGCACCGTCACCGTCGGACTGATGCCCTGCGGACGCAGAGGTCAGGACGGGGGTCAGCAGTGTCAGGGAGAAACCAGACGGTGCTCAAATCACTGCGGACGCAGAGGTCAGGGCAGAGGTCAGGGCAGAGGTCAGGGCAGAGGTCAGGGCAGAGGTCAACAGTATTGGGAAAGAAAACACATTATCGTCAAACCGGTGCTAAGACTTACAAAAAAGTCCCTTACCAAAGCCACTGTCTCACGCTGGCGAGGATCGGAAAAGTCTATTACTGGTGCACACTGGAACTCCTGGAGACGCCTGAACTCACGTATATGGGCATGGTTAACCTTCCAGGCGGTGGGGGGGGGGGATATTTTTTGCCCCCCCTTACTTTTTTCGATATATCTCCCGAACCGATGCGCCGATCGTCACAAACTTTCAGTACCCTCCCGTGAATAGCAATTGCACATTGTAACCAAAATGTTTCCAAAGGCTATGATAGGTCGGCCGCTAATGACGTCGAAGTGACATCATTTCTGCCATTTCGACCCAAAAAAAGTTTCGCGGGAAGAGCTGTCAGGCCTACAGCTTCGGAGATACAGAAAAATGTTTCAGACCTAAAAGGTGCAGAATTAACAGGGCTACGAAACTGCTCTCTCGGATTTTTTTTTAATTTTTGGATTTTGACCCCAAAAATAAAAAAAAATAGATTTTTTGAATATAACAGCCGAACAAATCCAAAAAGTTTTTTGAATTTCGAAAAAAAAAACGGAATATATGTGATAGTCCTTGCCGCCTTCTATCCACATACCAAATTTGAGATCGATACCTCTTTATATTTGGCCAAGTTATAGCGAAAAAAAGGTTCAAAATTGATGACGTCAAATTTTCAAACTCAAATATTAGCAATTCTAGACCTCGTAGCGCAAAACAAAGACCACCATTAGACTCCCCGTGACGAGCTGCATCGAATCAATACCATTTTATGCAAAAATATCAACTTTAAAATTTGACCTTTTTTGACCTGACCTTGACCTGACCTCCACCAGAAAGTGACCTAAACCGTACCTGATGGTCTTATAACCAACACTATTGAGTTGGAAATGAAAAACTGGCCATAAAACTTGCATCGCACAACCTTAGTAAAGTTGGGTTCATGTGCTGACCCTTGGTGACCTGACCTGGTATTGTCAGTGACCTCTAATAGCAACATATGTTCTAGGCAACTGACGCCCTATCGCTTTCGACAAAATGCGTTTTCCTCGGTATTACAGCGCATTCCCTATAAGACCCGTGAACGGTGAAACATTTTATCTTTGACCTGACCTGTGACGTCATCGGTGACCCCGAGGTCAATGAAATTTGGTTTCCCTCAAACAAATTTGACAGGGCTATCGAACGCCGTTTGAATTTTACGGATCCGTCCAGTAGTTTCGGAGATACGGGGGAAGGGCAAAAAATGCCCCCCCCCCTCCCACCGCGCGGAATGTGGCCGGGAGGCCCACCGCCTGCCGGGTTAAAACTGATGGCGTGCGATACTCAGCCGCCACGGACAGTGAGTCGCGGTCCCAAACAGCTACGGTACGGAACTAATCAGGACATCGCACTGTTCCGGCGGGCAGCGACTGCGCGCGGAGTCGGTAACCGGTGCGTCTGCACGCCGCCGGTCTCCTCACCATGTTGAACTGCTCGAACTGGCGCTGCATTTGGTGCGCCTGCGGGGCCGTGTAGAAGCTGTTGGTGCTGGCCGGGGACTGGGCCGCCGGGGAGGACGGCGACGACGGAAAGCCGCCGTCCAGCGGACTGGGCGGGCTGTATCCCGGCTGAAACGGAGCGAGACGCGGTCACACAGAGTCACACAGAGTCATACAGAGTCACAGAGAGTCATAGCGGGCTGTATCCCGGCTGAAACGGAGCGAGACGCGGTCACAGAGAGTCACACAGAGTCATACAGAGTCACAGAGAGTCATAGCGGGCTGTACCCCGGCTGAAACGGAGCGAGACGCGGTCACAGAGAGTCAAACTGAGTCACAGAGAGTCATAGCGGGCTGTACCCCGGCTGAAACGCAGCGAGACAAGGCCACACAGAGTCACAGAGAGTCACAGAGAGTCGCAGCGGGCTGTACCCCGGCTGAAACGGAGCGAGACGCGGTCACACAGAGTCAAACTGAGCCACACAGAGTCACAGAGAGTCACAGAGAGTCACAGCGGACTGGGCGGGCTGTACCCCGGCTGAAACGCAGCGAGACGTGGTCACAGAGAGCCAAACTGAGCCACACAGAGTCACAGAGAGTCACAGCGGACTGGGCGGGCTGTACCCCGGCTGAAACGGAGCGAGACGCGGTCACAGAGAGTCAAACTGAGTCACACAGAGTCACAGAGAGTCACAGAGAGACACAGAGAGTCACAGCGGACTGTACCCCGGCTGAAACGGAGCGAGACGCGGTCATAGAGTCACAGAGTCACACAGAGTCACAGTCATACAGCATAAGCAGCAGACAACCATGGATCAGAGAATATGGGTCTGGGATCTAATCCCACGGATCCTGATCTCAGATCCGATGGGATCATAAATCCAGTCCTTTACTTTACCGAGGGATTCATCGGGATCATAAATCCGAGTCTATACTTGAGATCCACTGAATCATGGATCCATCACTCGGATCCATGCACGTGTCTCGTCATAGGGGTTACGTGGGCCACATGGATCGCAGAGTCAGCATGGGTTACAGAGTCGGGGGGGGGGGGGGGGGGCATGTGCTGACAACACCGCATAGGGGAGGGTGCAGGCCACAGTGGCATGCAATAACGCTCCCATATGGCAGCAGAACTAATACCCGACTGAAGATAATGTCAAGTACAAGTACTTGCGTACGTTCCCATCACTATATCGTTGGCACATCCGGTTTGGTTTAGCTGAAATATAACGGTCTGCCGTCCACAGCGGCGACAGCTATGACGTCAGCAGCACGCTCCGCCGAATTACAAAAACGTGCTGTATGATATGCTGTAACAGCATATCATCCCCCGGTGAAAATAATGTGCGACCGACTCATCTTTACAAGCCACGAGTGATGAGCTCATCACCAAAGCGTCGTACGCCGCCGCCGCGAAGACAGCAGCCTCGAGTGGCAGCTCGATACCGGTTAATCCGGGCCTGGACAACACTGGTTATCTTTAGGAATGCCGTGCATGTCGGCATATGCTCTATCCGGAATATTTATCCGGTTTAAATCTGACGTCTGATCCCACTGGAAGCTCCATCTTTCATGTCTGGTCGTGCGCTGCCGTACTGCAGTCTGTCCAACGCCCCCCCCCCCCCCCAGCACGCCCCTCGGACAGTCTCCTACCCGAACCGTACAGCGTCCCAGAGATCTGCCGACAAGCTTAGCCCTCAACTGTCAACGCGTACCAAGGCCCGTTACCGTGCTCACACCCGCACCCCTGTCAGATTAACCAGTCAAGGGTTAGGTACTGGTAGGTCAGAGCCAGTCCAATGCTCCACGGTCTCAGGGTACACGACAGTCTCCAGTCTGCCGAACCGGTCAGAAGAAACCGGAACCTCAACAGCTGAGTACAGATACACAACACACATGTGCCTCAGATATACGAACAAACACTTATGGCCGAGCTACCCAGGACCAATGCTACAGCTGCACTTATGTACGCGACACAGCCAGGCATTGGCGCAACGTAATCATAACGGCAAATAAATAAGACATCAATCAGAGAAGCCTTCGCGGGCCGCTTTGTACTATACCTGGAAGAATGGGCGGCCCGAGGGCTCGCACTCTTCAGTGAAGGCTCGTATATACTGTCTAGGTACCGTACCTGGCAGTATAGTCACTGCCAGAGTGCAGTGCCTGGCGGTGGCAGTCACCGTGAGGCACATACTTCACCAGGCTGCCGCGGTCCTCTTCATCACACCCAGCACACAGTCTGTATCATCACAGAGGATAGCGGATCCTGTGCAGAATCGCGGATTACAGCGTTGTCCAGTACATCCAGCAGGAAATCATACCTAGCAGAAGGGCTTCTGAGAGATTCTACACTGTACTTGGCAGAAGGGCTACTGGGACTCCCTACCTGGACGGCTGCCGAGACTCCCTACTAGAGGTGGCAAAACATGAAAATTTTGGGAACCAGACTCGAACCAGACCCGGCTGGACATTTCTGAAACCAGTCGGACCCGGTCTTAGTTGGAATCGGAACCAGTTGGGCCCGTTCCCCAAAAGTCAATTAATGCAAACTACTTGTAGGTATCATTAGTTGCATCATGTAAAACAGCCTATTTCCAACTGGGAATACTCATGAGCTACTGTGTGCAAAGAAACATTCACTTCATATTTTGCAATAATATGTAGTGTGCAAGATGTATAGTTTATGGCAGGACCCGGTTGGACCTGTCAGAAAATATCCAGGAACCGGTCTGGGCTGCTGAGACTCCTCACCTGGCAGAAGGGCTGCTGAGACTCCCTAGTCCCTACCTGGCAGAATGGCTGCCGAGACTCCCTACCTGGCAGAAGGGCTGCTGAGACTCCCTACCTGGCAGAAGGGCTGTTGAGACTCCCTACCTGGCAGAATGGCTGCCGAGACTCCCTACCTGGCAGAAGGGCTGCGGTGAGACGCTGCGCTGCCGTACCCGCGGCGTCCGGAAGGCCGCCATCGGGTCCTGCCGACAGGAGCGGAGGCGGGACGGGCGCGCCCGGCCGGCGGTCACCACATGCGCTCTAGCGGCGGCGACACGACTCGAAAGCAGGCGCCGGCGACCGAAGGAGACCTACGACTACAGCGCCCGTCCGCGGCGGCCGAGCGGCCGGACACGAACACACGCCGAGACCAACTGCAGCCGGCTCGTGTGTTCCGAAAGGCCGCTCGGCCGGCCCACGGCCCGAGCCGACACAATACAGCTGAACTACAGAGCTGCGGCGGCGCCTCTGCGCACAGCGAGCACGACAGGCGGCCAGCCAACAACGATACAGAGAGAGAGAGCTGACGGCGGCACGAGAAGCCGGCCAAATGAGACTGTACGGCGGCCAAGAGAGAGACGGCAGAGGGGGAGCGTACAGAGAGCCGGAGAGGCGGCGGCGTGCAGGCCGGCCGGCCGGCGGCGGACACTCACCGGGGAGAGCGGCGGCGGCTGCTGCTGCTGCGGCTGCTGGCCGTCCGCGCCGAACGGGGCCGGGAACGGCGCCTTACGGGCCATCCCGGGCGACTGGGGGCCCGCGGCCGCCGTCTGCGGAACAGCGGCGGAGCAGCGGTCAGTGGCGCCCACACTCGGCTCTCAGGGGGCGACTCGGTAGGGCGCTGGGTACTCCCTCCTACTTCGCTCTTATGTGTGAAGGCAGTAGCTCAGGCGGCCAGCCTTGGCTTAATGCACATACTGAGAGTGACATCACCACCCCTTTGTTTACGTCTTTATCGTGTAATCGCCCGCACATTTTAATACGAGTACAAACACAGCCAGCTGACGGCATCAGGCCGGCCAAAACTGCCGCTCGGACCAGCTGCGATACGGTGTGAGGCCAGCCGACTACCCAGTTACACGTACTACATGTGAGTCACACGGGCGCCACGGTGTGCTGGAGCAGCCGGTGACGTTCAGACAGCGACCTGTCGGACGGTGTGTGCGGCCCACTGGGAGGGACGAGGACACAGTCAGGGAACACACCGGGTCCGGAGCGGCCGGCAGGGCCCTGACAGGTCAGCAGTGGGTCCGGCCGCGGCCACCTACCTTGAACGAGGACAGGAAGCCGCCGGCGCCGCCCGGGTGAGGCACGGACAGGCGGTTCTGCAGCAGAGCGTACAGGGGGACGGCGCGCGCTCAGCGGGGAGCCGGGGTCCGGGGTGCCCTACACAGTACACATGCCGAGCACGACCGGGGGCGCTGTCCGATCCCACCACCTACAGGCTGTCTGATCCCACCACTGATAGCCCGCTGCACTGGGGCTGAATGATTGCTCGGAAATAGCTTTACTGTGAAAAGTATCAAAGCCTTCAAATGATTTTATTGAGCTTTGTAAACTGGTTTATATTCGAGACATACTTTGCAAATAAAGCATTGATCATTCAAGGCCCGAATCCAGCTGTGATTTTAAGAAAACGAGGATCGGACAGGCTCCCTTTCTTTGCCATTAGGGCAGAGAATAGACATGTAGCATATGCAGCAATCCATTCACGTGCTAACAACAAAACAATACGGCAAAATGCAATAGCAAGAAACTGGTGAGCAAAATGAAATACGAACACACATAACAGCCACTAAAATGAAACAATAAATAAAGAACAATCATGCCAGGAAGCCACTGACGTCTAGTCATTACAGAGATAAGACTGGCATGCGGCGGCGTTCTGAGGCGGAGATCTCTGGTACGGGTCGGCCGGCACTCGGTGGGTCTCCGTAGAACCCGCGCCGGGCGCCGCGGGGCAGCGCACACTGACCTGACTGGCGGGCCGCGGCGGAATGGTGTGACTGGCGGGGTGCTGGCCGGGCGACGACGGGTCGCCGTACACCGGCTGCCGGCCAGGGGCAGGGTCAGAGCCGAGGTCAAATGGGGTCAGCCGGAATCAGCTGCGGATAGATCGCAGTACACCGCCATAGACGCGGTGACCAAGGAAGTGTTAGAGCTGGGGCAAGGCGGGGTACAGGCGCCACTGAGTTTTAATCGTCAGCCCATACCAACAGCAGGTGTCAGCGCAATCAGCAAACTAAACTGGACCGGAGAGCGGGTGCGACGCGGGACATGCGAAATGGGGCGGTAGTCGGAACACGGCCGGCGACCAATCAATCATGAATGACGTCACTAATCTGTCGGAGGTGACGGCGGCGATCGCCCCACTCTGCTCTGTCCCCTCTCTCTCCGTGCCATCAGAGCTCCGTATCTGATGGCCCGTCGGCGGCGCGGCATTGTGCATCCATCAGCGCCAGTGAGGCCGCGCCACCGTGCCGGCCGGGCGGTCCCGCACAGCCGCGCAGCCGGCCAGAGGTGTGTGCAGCGGCCGAGCCCCGCTCGGCGCTCACAGAACAGGTGTGACTACCGACCGCGCGCCGGGACAGGCGCCCCACCCGGGGAGTGCGAGAGGCCAGGCCGGGGGCGCGCCCACCCCTGGCCACTGCCGCTCAGCTGGCCCCGTCTGAGCCAGTTCCGAGCCGCGGAGAGCAGGCACCACGCTCGGCGCCAGCCCGCGGCGGCGCAAAAACCACTGAACTTAATCCGTCAGATAGTGACGAATACCATAATCAGATTATCGTATTACGCCCACACGTCACGGCAGCAGTCTTCCAAGCGGTTACACGTACAGCATGCCCGCCGCGGCCATGAGCAGCTGTACAACTCAACTCAATTACACTGGCACGTAAAACGCCCATAGTACGTAAAATCCATGGCGTCGATAGGACGTAGAAACTCTCGAGTCACATAGACAAATTCGATACATTACTCCCCGTCTATCCATCATTACACTGGACTCTCCGCAAAACCATGGCCATGGCCCCAGCCACGACCGCCGCCGCCGCGGCCGTTACCCGCAGCAGAGTTTCGGTCGGCCGAGCGCGGATGTATTCCCCAGGAAGTGATCCAACTGGGGGGGGGGGGGCGCAGCGGGAGGGGAGGAGACAGAGATACTAGACAGCTCGGGGAACGATGACACGCAACTTACTCGATAAAAACCGGCACACAAAGGACCCAGCACGGAGAGTGTATACCACATCCACTCGACGACATGGCTGTCGTCGACATATGTAGATCTCCATTTGGTTCTAGATGAACCGAGAACAGACTGAGACCCGACTCCTTGAACACTCCCCAAACCCCCAACACCCCCTGCTATCAAGCAGCCTGCATCCCACACACACACACCACGCTAGCATCTGTGGGGATAGGGACATCCTATATCCCCGGGGGACATCTGGGCGGGAGGATGGGCGAGCGGCGCCTCCCCGGCCCAGCAGCGCCTCCCCCGCGGGCCGGGGGAGGGGAGGAGAGGGAGTCACCCACCGAGTAGGGCGGGGTGCGGCTGAGATCGTCGCCGTCCTGGGCGGAGCGAGCGGCGCGCGGCGCCGGATAGCCGCCCGGCGTCAGGTCGGGCAGGGAGCCGGCCGGCGCGAGTCCGTTGAGCGGCGGACGGCCGTCGGCCAGCAGAGCGCCCCTGCCGGAGGGAGGCCAGGTCAGACAGTCGGGGGGTACTGGACACCGGAGACAGTGGAGGGGCGGCGACCAGCTGAGCGGGGGAGGACACACGGACGGGAGGTGGTAATAACACAGACAGTCGCTATTACATGCTGGACGGACCTAGCTAATGCTGGACGGACCCGACGGACCTAGCAAACGTCAGTGCTGGCAAGTGTGTGTGTGTGTGGGGGGGGGGGGGGGCTGATAACGGTCGTCACACTCATCAGTCGACCTCATCCTAAGTAGCTGGGTACTTTAGTTTCACACCCCCTCTCTCGCCCATTTGGTTACACAGAGACACGGGTGCCACAATTAGCCCGAAATGAGCCCGTTCTCCGTGGAATTATGGCGCGCGTTCCGCGAACAGCCGTAGCCCGGCCGGCCGGTGGCGCGGGGCGGTACCACCAGTCGGCGACACTCACGGAGGGCCCGGCACGCGCTGGTCACCCGGCTGGGCGCACGAGACCGGCACGTGGCCCAGCTTAGGGTCGAACGGGTTCCAGTGGCCGGGCGGCGGCGCCGGGCTCGAGCCGCCGCTGCCGGGCACCTCGTGCAGACCGCCGCCGCCGCTGCCGCCGCCCGCTGAGGGCACAGGAACACAGGGTGGTGTCAGTGGTACCCGTCACAGATACACTCGGGCTCCAAACGGCACCCAGCGACACTCGGGCTCCACATGGCACATAGACCTCAACACGGCACATAGTAACACTTGAGCTCAACACGGCATATAGGTAGTGACACTAGACCTCAACACCGCACGACACAGCGACACTGGGGCTCAACACGGCATATATGTAGTGACACTAGACCTCAACACGGCACACACTAGTGACACTCGGACTCCACACGGCACAACAGTGACACTGGGGCTCAACACAGCACAGCATTTAATGACACTCGACACAATGGAGCTGGGTAGAGTGACTCCCATCTGTGCTGTAGAGGGGGAGGGGGCGAGTAGCACTCGTACTGCCGCCGTGCAGCGGTGCAGCACTCACCTCTGCGCTGCAGGGAGGGCGAGTAGCACTCGGACTGCCGCCGTGCAGCGGTGCAGCACTCACCTCTGCGCTGCAGGGAGGGCGAGTAGCACTCGGACTGCCGCCGTGCAGCGGTGCAGCACTCACCTCTGCGCTGCAGGGAGGGCGAGTAGCACTCGGACTGCCGCCGTGCAGCGGTGCAGCACTCACCTCTGCGCTGCAGGGAGGGCGAGTAGCACTCGGACTGCTGCAGCGTGCGGTGTAGCGCCGAGTCCGAGTGGGTGCGCCGCCAGCCAGAGTCGGACGGCGGTGTGAGGAACGTCTGTCCCGGCGGGCTGCGGACGCAGCGACAGCGGAAACGGTCACAGGACGGCTAACAGTACCCAGAGTACAGAGTGTATCGCACAGCTGCAGTACAGCCTGCCATCAGCACACACTATAACAGGGACTCGGATAATGAGCGTGTAATCTGGAAAATAAAAGAGCTGCTGGAGACGATTACCACAATAAGATGATGCACATCATCAGCAATGTAAATTAACCCAATGGCCACTATGTTAAGGATTATCAAATGACAGATGTGATATATAAGTGCATGTATGGCTGAAACCTTTAAATTCATTTAAAAAGGGATAAAAACGCAAGAAATTACCCAACGTTTCGCATTTATTGCTTAGTCATGACCAGGTCATGACTAAGCAATAAATGCGAAACGTTGGGTACTTTCCTGCGTCTTTATCCCCTTTTAAAATGAATTCAAAAGTTAAGGGCTAAGGCCATACATGCACTTATATCAACACAATTATTTCTGCGCAACTGCAGTCGTAATAAGAAAAATGTTAATTGGACTAATGTGAGCTCGCAAATACACATTGTATTATAACACATTATTCACTATTATACTGCACAATGCACATATAGGTCACGGCATGCATATATGACTCCATCACCAATATATCCGACTGATTACCAACAACTGCATGTTAGTACCTGTTTTCCACTTCTGGTTAGTAGGCGTGACAGCAGCAGAGTAAAAGAACTAGGCGCGAAGGAATATGCTTAGGAACGCTGCTTGCTAAGTACAAAATCGCTTTGTGTGGAACATGGTCCACACAAAGCGGACTACGTTATAGGAACCTCAGCAAAAACCTTATCTCATAATCCACAAAAGATTTAACAGGGAAATTCAACAAACAAGGTAGGTATGCAGGGTACTATGCAGATAAAATGTCAATGAGGGTCTTCAAATGATTTGCAAGGATCGCGGTTGGTCAATTAGACTAGCATACACAATGCAAATTGCGACCTGATGAAAGCAAATTGTACTATTATCACAGGTACAACAGATACCTAAAACACCATGACGCTGCGCCGAACCGGCGGGTCGCGGGCGCTCTTTCAGCTTCAGGGCGATACTTACGTGGCGTTGGGCGGTGTTGGCTCGCGGAAAACTCTCACCGTCTTCCCTTCCATTGCCACCCGCTCTCCCGTGACTTTCGGTTCCCAATGCTCGTGAATGTGGTGTACGTACTGCCGTGTTAACAGACCCCGGCCAGGTTCGATAGCGCCCTAGCAGATCGTGCTAGTCAGGTAATATCCCACATACGCACCCTACCGCTGTTAATTCAGACATACAGCATACCGACCAGTCAGCGCTGAGGCCACCACCCATGACATCCCGCTCCGCCGCGCGTTACATTACAGCGGTCCCGCAGCTCCGCGTGCACCGCCTCCACCCGGGCCGCTGCCGCCGCCGGCACTGACCCCGGTTAGTCTGGCGGCGCCGCGGGGCCGGGATTCTGACCTGTAGGGCGCCGGCTCCGGCCGGTAAGGAGACAGAGGCCGGCAGTGCGCCGGTGGCTCTGACCTGTACGGTGACGTCTCGCGCCGGTGGTCGCACACGGCGCGAGGGTTCCGCTGCGGGCCGAACCCTGACGTGCGCTGGTCCGGCGAGTAGGACGGCTGGCTGCCCTGCACCATACCGTGCGGGTCCTGCGGCACCGAGAGAGCGTTAGCAACGGACGGACTGCAGCGGTCAGCGAGGCATTTAACGACCGTCCGAGATGAGCAAAGCACAGTGGTCAGAGATATTTGAATCGCAATGATGAGAAAGTAGAGCTTACAGGGTCAAGGCGGTACATATAATCACAGACATCTCATCAGAATGTAAGCGTGAATGCCGATTACAAGTCGCAATTTTATTTGAAAAAAAGGAGAAACAAACAATTTGAAAAATAAGAGAAATAAACAATGTCATGAACATGAATTAGCTGAATATGACCATCGTGCGTCATAACCATCGTGCGTCACTCGAATCTCAATCTGTTCAGCCATTTCATGCTATGATCACTGTCTACCTCCAATGCATCACAATCCCTGCTGGTTCACACCATCCCGAGCAGCCCGCGCCACGACCGGCGAGTCGAGTCCCAGGGCCGCAGTGACGGCGCCGGCGGCTCGGCCCTGCCCCTGACCTGGTAGCCGGCCGGGCCGGGCGGCAGCGGGTAGCCGGCCATCTGGTTGACGTTGGGCAGCGAGCCGCCGCAGCCGCGGTAGAAGGGCTGCAGCAGGCCGGCCGGACTGGCTGCCACCGGCTGCGGTCCGCTCGAGGACATACCCGGAGAGCCCTGCCGACCGAGCGCAGATGGAAGGTCAGCCGAGCGCGGATAAAAGGTCAGCCGACGACACGGGACGAGCTAGTGTGGACGTGTACTGGTTGGGCATGGAGGGAATGTCCTGAAGCTGGTTTGGATTTAGTTTGTTTAAAACAAATGATTTTTCCAGGCTAGAATTCATGCCAGCACTTTGTGGCGCATGTGCTGTGACCTTTATCTCGCCAAATCAGGGAATTCCTGGCACCAGTAAAATCTCAAGGCAAGCATGGCATATGTCAACGCATAAGCGTAACCTCCCCTCTGACCTTGTGGTCTTTCTGGCCTGTAGCACGACCACTACCCAGTAAACATGCCGACGTAGGCCCGACGTCGGGCCGAGGCTCGGCCCGACGTCGGCCCAACGTCGGTTCAACCTCGGCCCGACATCGGCTGGACGTCGGATATGCCCGCATGTTCCGACGTCCAGCCGAAGTCCAGCCGACGTCGAGCCGACGTCGGGCCGAGGTCGTTTGCCGAGGTTGACGAGATCGTTTGTCGTTGGACCGACGGGGCCGACGTCGGCATGTTTATTGGGACAACGCGTCAAAAATATCAACCGGCGGCGGGATTCGAGCCCCCCAGTCGCCGACGTCGGCATGTTTACTGGGACAGCACGCCAAAAGCATCAGCCGGCAATGGGATTCGAACCCCGTGTCATTTGAACGCGAGGTTAGTGCGCTAACCACTACACCGCGCAGCCAGATAGCGAAATCAGTTTGTTTTGTTGGGTTATGCCCTTTCGGTCTGACAAGACCATTTCAGAGCCGGAAGGATGATAGGATGGAGAGTCGGAGACATTGGTCTTCTTGGCGAGCACCCTGGGTCCAGTTCATATAGAGTCCCTAGTCCCATTGCTGTTACGTGACACTTATTGGAAAGGGCGAAGGGCGACCCCACAATGGATTCATATAGCCACTCTTACACACCTGCACCAACGTTTCCCAAAGTGTCCCTTTGATAAGTGGCACTTTGGCAAAGTGACACTTGCCGACTGGCCTTTCTATATGAACTGGGCCCGGCCCTGGTGAGTTGCCGGGGCTGAGCCTGACCAAAGGATAGGCCAAGCAGCCCCCAAGCACTCACCGTACCCGGCTACGGGCGAGCTCGGCTTACGGGCAATCCCAAATGGGATAAAGTTTCCCGTCCAGTCCGGATCAGGGGGTTGCGGCGTGGAGGAAGATTTGAGTTTCCTGAGGATATTTTGAATACAGAAGCTCTTTATGAAACATGAAACATGTATTTTATATTATTTTAACGGTCAAAACAGCGGCCGATGTCGGTCCGACGTCGGCCCGACGTCGGCTGGACCTCAGCAATTGATCTCGGTCCGACGTCGGCCCGACGTCGGCTGGACCTCGGCTGGACGTCGGTACATGCGGGCATATCCGACATCCAGCCGACGTCGTGCCGAGGTTGGACCGACGTCGGGCCGACGTCGGCATGCCGATGCCGAGTTGCCGACGTCACACCGACGTCGGCCGACGTCGGGCCGACGTCGGCATGTTTACTGGGTAGCCGCAGGCTATCCCAGTTGGGATCAAATGGCGTGGGTCAAAATGGTACAAAAGGCCTCTACAGCCAGCCAAACGCTGTGTGGAGACCCTGAGGACACCAACACTCTTTCCACTATTGCTTCCTACATTAACAAAACCTTTCCAATGAATTGTGGTTCAAAATATCAGATAAGCCTAAAATGAAGCCAAAATCTACATGGATAAATTTTAAAAGAGCAATTTTCATATCAAACTGCTAATAAGTAACTACATACTTGAGCATGGGACATAAACTGAAAAAAACCTAGACCTATAAGTTTTCCATCCATTTTCATCACAAAATTACAATAACAACAGTACAATTGGTGTGGAGAAAAGTCCCAATGGTGGGATAAAGCTGAGAATTTGAAGGACAATCTGCCCCCGCTGCCATACAGTATGATCACAATGTGTGATATGTAGTGTGTGAATTTAAGTGCATACAATCACAAAATACTAGTGTGCAAACAATGCCAGATTGTATTAACTGTAATCGTCAGCCTTATTATCACAACTTCAGGAAGAAGGAGTAGGCAACTAGTTCAAATGACATGTCTTTGGTGAATTTTGTCTACAAATAACCATGGTTTTTAAAATATTCTTTACATTCTTAGCAAGTAGAAAGTATTAGCCTTCATTATAAGTGATCATGCAATCAAACATTACATATCTTTTCAGTCTGGGCAAACAGGTCACTGTGTGTCTTTTCATAGTCATTTGATAGGTCTCAAATGATGTCGGTGTCTTAGCAACACAACACAAAAAGGAGAGCTAAATGAAAGCCAATTGCTAGTTGCATCACTTCCTGCTCAATCCTGCTAAAAATGATAAAAGGTCAAGTCAATTAAAACATTAGGAACATTTATTATGTGTCAGGTCAAGGTGACTAATAAAATAATAGCAGCATTTCAGGCTAACACATGGTGTCTGTCCTAAGACCCTTCCATCCAATTTGTGACAAAGTAACTGATTTTGAACTTATGTCAATAAAGGTTGCAATAAGCTGTAGAGGATTAGGTTCACGATAAATTCAGAGAGAAAGTATTGTGAATTTCTTTGGATACCCTTGCCTTCAAACCATTGGCGTAATCTCTAATGATGATAATGATGAGTACAGTTACCAAGTCCATGAATACACCATTACAACAATGAACAATTTGTCATCATAGGTACTCATTACATTTTATCAGTGACTTTCCACAACTACGAATGGCATCTCCAGTGTAATAGTGGGCCTATGTAAGTCGAGGCAGGCATACAAAACTGTCTCGACTTACATCAAACCAACTTGCGAGCAAACCAAATCATAATAGGAGAAGCCTCAAATGAGAATACAAAATTAATTTGCAAGTGGAAGACAAAATCCAGAATACAAATTTCCGAAATTCGTAACGAGCAGCCGTAACTTACCTTTGGAACTGCAACGCCAACTTCTCGCATGATTTTCTCAAAAGCAGCAGTTTCTTCAGCCTGCTTTTGATTGTGCAACGCTATTTTTTCACTAAACTTTCTTGGGTTCGCCATCTCCGCAGATGGCTTACCATACACTTTCATAAAACTTATGAGGCCCCGCGATTACAGTACCTTCTGCACCACCCACGACTAGCATATTTACGTCGCATTAAAATCCATTATACTCACTAGAGGGACCTTGAGAGTGATGCGTTACAAATGCCGCAAGACAGTTTCTGTTCCAAATCAGATTTAGAATAAATTCTAGTAGAAAATAAAAAGTTTCTTTATTTTTCTTTGATGAAACTAGAAAAACGCATCAATTTTCTCGATAAACTAGGTACCCTTAGCTAATTGTACTGGGCTAGGAGAAGGAAATAATATATAATAATATAGAAGGAAAGGAATATTTAAGAATTAATTTCACTACCATGTCATAAAACTTTTATACCAACCACCAACTATCGGAATCTTTCAAACTGGCAGCTGTAGTGATTATCATGTGGTATTTTTATTTCCCGAGTAAAACCATATCTCTGGAAAAAATTGCTTTTGATCAACAGAACAGAAATATAATGAGGTAAAATAGACAAATGCCTGTAAGCTGTTTAATTGCGTGACTCTTATTCTAAACATCGGTTTAGGGAGCATCGATTTGGCGAGAAGAGTGAAATTCGCATGCTAATTGCTACGCTGCGACCAAGCATTGCGAATCGGACGCAGAAGATCAAAATGACTCTTGAAGCTCGGTGTTTAACGCTGTACAGCTAACCAATCACACGCAAGTGGCAACTTAACAAATTACGCTGACTACCAGAGAGGAAAACGATCAACAAATCACTGCGAGATCCGCCACCATTTGGTCAGTCTTGCCGCTTGGAGCACCATCATGCTGTTTCTCGCTCGATCACAAACTAGTAGTATTCAATTCAGCCGAAAGATGTCAGTGTGATTGGATTTTATTCAATGCCAGCAGGGTTAGCAATGGTTAGCAGGGGCCAGGGTTAGCACATTAGCCCTTGCAACATGCTGCAAAACTTTCAGCGGTGGTATTCACCTACCAGGGGCGTAACTTTTTGGTTTTCGTTGGGGGGGCAACGCTGTCGGGGGCGCCTTTTTAAGGGCATGGGGGCGCCTCCCCGTGACTGTCTAGAAATAAGTCTTATTTCAGTTTACGGCAGCATTTTTTTTTACCATAGCACGTTGTTTTTGTGCCGTCGTGTTTTGGCACGTTATGTTGCAGTTTTTTTCTGAAATAGCGCGCCAAAAGCGCGGAATGATTTTGTAACCAAATACATTTTGAAAGCACTTTGGGGACCAGAGACCGGGGGCGGGTAGTGGAATTGGGGACCAGGGTAGTGACGCCTTATTAAACAACGCATATGGTAGTTCTTCTAAAGAAACGAGACGAACTGATGAATTGACAAAAAGAAAAGAAAAAACAACTGATAAAAAGGCGAGATTAAAGAAACAAATCTGTAGAACTTCACCCCACGTAGAAGCAAGGGACGTTTTTACGCCTCCCCTTTTAAAGGGACACTCCCACCTTAACATTAGTTTTGAGTTGAGATAGCCAAATTGGTGGCCATGGCCTGCAAATACCGGTTTGGGCACTCACAACATCGACAAATGCTTTAATTCGGAGATATGGAATTTCAAACTTGCAGTTTTCAGATTCTAAGGGGCTAGTGCATTGGTATGCCCCCTTATAATTTGTGACGTCAGCGGAGATCTAACGATTTTTAAATCTTTTACTAAAACGTTTGGTAGCACGCGGTGGTATATGCTGCTTTGCGCGCAACAAATGCCGCACTTTCAAATAAAGTCGCTAGGAACAGCGGAGATCCCAAAAAGTAAACAAAAGTAAAAGTCTAATATCTTGAAAACCGGTGAATATTTTTCGATGAAATTTGGTAGATATTCGTTTTCGCTCTTTCTGAACCGAGCGACATCACTTTCGTGCCAATTCATTAACTTTTTTGAAGGTGGGAGGCAGGGGCGTAACTTTTTGGTTTTCGTTGGGGGGGCAACGCTGTCGGGGGCGCCTTTTTATGGGGGCGCCTCCCCGTGACTGTCTAGAAATAAGTCTTATTTCAGTTTACGGCAGCATTTTTTTTACCATAGCACGTTGTTTTTGTGCCGTCGTGTTTTGGCACGTTATGTTGCAGTTTTTTTTTTCTGAAATAGCGCGCCAAAAGCGCGGAATGATTTTGTAACCAAATACATTTTGAAAGCACTTTGGGGACCAGAGACCGGGGGCGGGTAGTGGAATTGGGGACCAGGGTAGTGACGCCTTATTAAACAACGCATATGGTAGTTCTTCTAAAGAAACGAGACGAACTGATGAATTGACAAAAAGAAAAGAAAAAACAACTGATAAAAAGGCGAGATTAAAGAAACAAATCTGTAGAACTTCACCCCACGTAGAAGCAAGGGACGTTTTTACGCCTCCCCTTTTAAAGGGACACTCCCACCTTAACATTAGTTTTGAGTTGAGATAGCCAAATTGGTGGCCATGGCCTGCAAATACCGGTTTGGGCACTCACAACATCGACAAATGCTTTAATTCGGAGATATGGAATTTCAAACTTGCAGTTTTCAGATTCTAAGGGGCTAGTGCATTGGTATGCCCCCTTAGAATTTGTGACGTCAGCGGAGATCTAACGATTTTTAAATCTTTTACTAAAACGTTTGGTAGCACGCGGTGGTATATGCTGCTTTGCGCGCAACAAATGCCGCACTTTCAAATAAAGTCGCTAGGAACAGCGGAGATCCCAAAAAGTAAACAAAAGTAAAAGTCTAATATCTTGAAAACCGGTGAATATTTTTCGATGAAATTTGGTAGATATTCGTTTTCGCTCTTTCTGAACCGAGCGACATCACTTTCGTGCCAATTCATTAACTTTTTTGAAGGTGGGAGGGTCCCTTTAAGTTAAGAACACACTTCATACTGCATCTTTTCCGCGCGTGTTCTAGAAGCAAACCAGTGGCAAAAATTTGCCCTCATCAAAAAAAAAAATAAAAAATTGCCCCCCCCCCGCCCGCGCCGTGCCGGGGGGGAGTGAACACCTCCCCTGCGGTTTTTCGCAGATATCTCAAAACTCCGCGCCGCCGTTTTTGGCACACCTGTTCATGCATCTTTTTTTTACACATGTGCAAATTTCAGACCCAGAGCTCTCAAGGTCAGGTCACCAGGTCACGTCAAAAGACCTCACCTCAGAAAAAAGTTGCAATCCTCGTCATAGCTACACCGACTGAACGATCGCCTTGAAACTTTCAGCGATTGATAAGAGTAACAGTATGTCTAAAATGTTTATCTCGGAATTTTGATATCAGTGACCTATGGTCAGGTCAATTTTGCGACCTCTCCATTATAAGTCAATGGGAGAAAATTGAAATGAGCCTTTTTTGGACGAATGGTATTTAGAACCCTCTCAAACATCGTTTCATAGGTAAACATGATACACTGAATCGGAAAAAATGCACCTGTGACCCCTCTGTGTGCCCTTGAGGTCATCTCAGGTCATAGACGGTCACCACCAGTTTTTTGGCTGTAACTTTTGATAAAGGCGTGCTAGAGCGATGAAAACACTTCAGATGTATTCAGCTCGACGATACGGATCGACTGATATGCAACATGACCCTTTTCGGTCAGGTTATGACCTTGACCTGAGGTCAAATTTTAAAAATGACCTTTCAAGGTCAAAAAATAGTTCATTCGACGCGTCTCGACGAGAGGAACATGATGCTGCCAAAAGTAATGTCGTGGCACTCTTAAGTCAAAAGTTATTGCCGAAAAACAGTTTTCGTGAAAACTGCTATTTTACAGTTTTTGCCCTTTGGAGGCTAAACCGTTGACCTTAGGTCAAATCTGAGAACAATGGTCAGAAAGGTCTGTAAAAGGGCTATCGAATGCGCTTTTCCGCGGCGCTGTAGCTCTATTGGTCCCGAGTTAGCCGTTGCAGTTTCCAAAATTGTTGAAATGGCCTACATTTGACCTTCGATGACCTCAGGCGACCTGACCTTTGACCTGACCCAAAAAATGACCGAAGTGTTTCCGTCATTATTTTTGACGCTCTTTCGAATGATGCTTACTGCGTGTCGCTACGTGGCCCAGGAGCCGAGTTAGACCAGACACCCCCCTCACCGCCCGGCGCGGAAGTCGCGGAGCACCAGCCCGGCGCGGGTTAATCCCAGGCTGAGAGCGTTCAAGCTTAGGTCACCCATATACCTCTGTATAACGCAGCGTCCCAAAATTATATTTCGGCTTGGGTGTCGGAGGGGAATATTCATCACTAGAACGAGGGCTGAGAGTGAAAAAATGCCAGTTAGAAAGACACAAAAAGAGCGGAAAACAGGGATCAACAATATATTTGTGAATGTTGAAGGATGTGGGAGCTGCTTTATAAAATAATTGAATCGAAAATGGAGGGAGGTAAAAGGTACACGCAGAATATGCTCTTTATTGGTAAAATAGGAAGTGAAAAATTGTTCTGGAAAGCTGGAGGTGAGAGTGGAAAATTATTTCGATTTGGATGTCGTTTCCCACCCAAACTGGCAAATTTTGGAACACTGGACTATAACGAGACATGCAGAAGTCTGTGGCTCACCAGGTGATATCAAGTTATCACGAAATGATAGGGGAGAGTGGGGTGGGTTGTATCAGTTTTTACTCCGAGACCCATAAACTCGTAACTATCCGTGATAAACTCATTATTTCCATACTGTCCCCTTCCTTGATTCTTCTGCTTTTTTGTGCAAAGTAACTTTTCCGCTACCTCTACCAGTTTTTCTTCTACGGTCTGCCGAATAGAACAATGTTTTTGATACAACTTGCCCCATGGCTTGGGTGAGTTGTATCACATGGTGGGGTAATTTGTATCACTATTTCACGTTTCAGGGAGTGTGCTTGCTACTGGTTTTGAACATAACAGCAACATTAAATGGGGTTAATACAATGTATAGGTATGCTCAAAGGCTTCACTTTATTAGACCAAACTTAGGTCAATGCAATCCGAACGAAACATCAACAGACTAGACGCAAAAGTGGCCCGTTAAGAGCAAAGAAACCAACACATTGTGCCGAAATGGAACGAGCATTGACTAGCTACCTACAAACGCGAGCCAGGGCTTAGCTTTCGCGATCAAAAGCAACATACCCATACATACATACATACATAC